CAAAGTCCAGTTTTTAAAGTTATCAAAGCAAAAGATCAAAGCAAAATGTGGGTTCATCTAAGAAAACTAATGGATACTATTAGGCATATTTTATTCTTATCCTATGAAGTAAAACTACCTGAAACAGGACAAAATCTAGTTTTTGGGACGCCGATGGTCCTCGTTGGTGTTTCATCACGCGCTTTTGAACCCAGACGAAGAGCAGATGATCCTGCAGACCACCATCCAGTACCCGGAGAAGCACACGGAGACCACCCAGGAGGAGATCGCGGCCCCGGGAAAGCTCCCCGAGACCCCCCTGCGCATGGACCCTGACCTGCTGTTCGACGGTAGATATGAGGAGAAATTTGACGACGGCGACCGGAGCCCGGCGGATCAGAACCAGATGGAGACCCCGCCCAAGGAGTTGGTATCATCTTACTCAGTAAGCCAACCCGAATATAATACATATAAACCACACTCAGAGCTTTCGTGAAGCATAGGTGTGCTTCTAGTCCATGAGCTGATGCCTCATTTAAACTCTAATGTGCTTTTTAAAACTGGGATTTTATTGGGATCTTCATAAAAATGAGAAATCTCAAGACATCATAGAAAAAAACATTAATAATAGAAAAAAAAACTTAATTTTCTGTGCACTCAGCTGTAATTGCCTCATGGCAATATAGATATTAATAGATATTAATTTAAAAATGGTGAAAATAATCTTTCAAACACTGAATTATACTCTATACATATTATTATGTTAAATAGGTTTGTACAATAAGTCCAAACAAGTTTAACCCAAAAATATTTATTTCTCACAATTATGAAGGGTGGAGGGTTAGGATTAGGGTCATTAATGCGGGCCACCACTCACGATACCATCAGTAACAGGTAAGTTTGAAATTAAAGACACTAACCTGTCAAAATTCAGTTAAATTTGTTTTTATCCTTGTGTTATCGAAAATGGTATCGAGTATTTTCCTGAGTTGAAAATGTCAGTATCGTGACAACCCTACCCTAAACTACTCATTGCGTCTTCTATAAAGGCAGATTAGTGCACGTGGCAGCAGAAAGCTCTCTGACGGCCATTTTGGTTTCATCTCCAGGCGATGTGTCAGTGGGTGGAGCAGGTGAGGGAGCGTCTTCGGCACTTCTGCTCCGAGTCCCTGCCTCTCTTCTTCCTCGTCATGTGGGTGGTGGTCATCGGCGTCGTGGGGTCAGCCATAATCGTCAAAATACTGGACTTGTTCTTCCCCGCCTGTGAACAGAAGTATGCGAAAGATAAATGGGCTCAACTATTCCATTGACGTATTTTAGCAGAATCCATCACATTTTCTTTTTCTATTTCACAGGCACAGTTTCCCCTTAAACCCTGTCACCGTAGTGCTGGAGGATGAGAAGCACAACCTCCTGGAAAACATAGAAACGGATACCACCGAAGAAGAGAAGAAGCCTTGAATGAATGTTGAGCACTTTCCTCCAATTTGGGCTTATCTGTTCTTTTAATTTCTGTTTAAAACTTCGGAATGGCCTGATTCTGCTCACTGCTTGTCATCAGATCAGAACCTGAGGCTTTACATTTCAGCTCAGCCTTTGAATTTTTTTGACCATGAAACGGCTTTGATGGTAACCCGTGTAAATCCCCCCCCAAAAAAAATCCATCCATGTGATCCAGTCCAAAAGAAGGATGAACTTTCAGGGGTTCTTTTCCAGTGACACTATTTCATTAAAGAAAATGTGTTAAACATTTCCTTTAAAACCTACAATTACCATCAAATAATTGTCACAGAAGTATCAAAAACCAGAACTAAGTCAAAGAACTCAAATGCAGAGATTGTGTTAAGCTACTTAAGAACAGAATTATTATTTGGAGGGTTGTGTAGTGTCTTTTTCTTTAAAGCACTTTGACCAAGTCACCCTTTTTTTTTTTTTAAATTAGGGCTTCTTTCAGTCTGAAGTTGTCGTTCGCAGCTAATCACATGGTTTTTTTTTGTGAGGGGGGGGGATTTGGTATTTGTTGTGGAGCAGATAGCTTCTACCTGTCTTTCTGTGTCCGTTTATCTAAAAAAAAAATCATTGTGAATCACGGAGACATGTAGGCCACTTTGTCCACCTCTCACAAAGTTCAGAAATTCTCCATTTGAACTTCATCAATGGGAAAAGCCTGTTCCTCTGAGCCCCCCCCCCCGTGCATTACCATGGTTCTGTTGTTTCTGGTGGTTCCCAGTGCCTCAGCAGTTATTTTGGGATTCTGTTACTGGACCGTTGTGCGACCCTTTGGTCAGTTTTGATGTCTGATACCAATCTTAAGAGAAAGGTCAAGTTGCTCAGAAATATCTATGCACTGTAAACATTTTGAAAAAGGATTGCTTTGAGTGAGCTGCTGTAAAAAAAAATACAGAACGAGCCGCGACCACAAATTCAACGGCGGAGTCGAGATTCTGAGGCCAATACCTTCAAAATGTGTTTTAGAAAGACTTGTTTTCTTCACTATTGCTCCGGTTTTTTCCAGGTCTCAACATCCTCCATTTGCATTCTGTCGGCGCCGGTGTGTGTGTGTGTGTATGTGTGTGTGTGTGTGTGTGTGTGTGTGGCCGGCCTGGTGTCCACAGGCTCTGCGACATGCATGGGGTAGTGCACTAACTAAAGATGCATGCGTAGGGTAGAAGACGGGGAGCCTGGCTGCTGCTCTTTAAAGCTCTGCATGATGAGACTAAACAGCAAAGGAAGAACCCAAAAACCGATCCAGCTCGGTCCCCGTTACACGGACCGGACGGGGCTTCGGCGGTGGACAAAGTATGAAGGCATGAATTTTGGGTTGTTTTCGAAGAAATGACCTCCAAAAAGATTTTACATTTACTTTTTATGACTGTGTGCATAAACGTCGGAAATTGCAGCAAGACCAGTTTTCTGGCTCAGATTGTGCTTATTAAATGCTTCTGTTATGAGTGTCACGTGGATTCCTCGTCTGGTCATTTGAGCTGTGGATAAAGAACCGTAGCAGAACCGGCTTTAATCCCATTTTTTTGTCACTTCCAGTTGACTGAAACCCATACTCTGTTCTCTTTTCTAAATAGAATGCAGCATATATGGATGAGTGTAAGAGCTAAGGCATGAAAAATGGAAACCATGACTCCTAGAGAAAAATTAATTTCAACTTTCTGTACATTTAGCAGATACACTAACAGTATCATGCATACAGGCTCCTTAGTGACCTCACAGATTTAGAATTATTTAATGTATGCATTGAAAAAGGGGAAAACATGGCAGGTAGAGACACATTTCAGGTTGCCTTCAACAACTTCCCAACCGATGTTTAAAAATGAATAAATTAATGTTGAGAGGCATTAGTGAGGGAATGATTGGAAGTCATACTCAGGGTAGAATAATAATCATTTTAGAACACTTACAGCACTAAACATTAGAAAGGGAGAAAGTTGCTAACAGAAAGAGAAACCATTCAAATAGAATTATAGTAAAATTCAATAAATTGAAGGGATTACTAAAAAAAGGAGTAAACTGGTTTAGCTGGAGCCCACTCGGACTGAACTCAATTTTGGGGCGGATCTTGAGGTGGCTAATAAGAAGAAACTTGCCAGGACTTTGCTTCCGCTTGATTATTTCTGACTCTTGACACTAGTGTGTAACTATCAAACATAATTTATAAGTACACAAACTACACTTTCCAACTGGGTTTTAATGGAAAAAACAAAAACTAACTTTCAAACTATGTTTTAAAGTATTTTACACTCTAGTATTCTAGCAAAGCTTTTAACAGGGCATTAAAGTACATTAACTTTTAATCAGTTTTTTTATTTTAAACAACAAACTTCACACAGGATTTTAAAGCACCCTAACCTTCAAATTGGGTTTTCAAGAAAACTAACTAACCTCCAAACTTGGTTGCAAAGAATGCCAACTCACCTTTAAACAGAGTTTTACACCAACTTTCCAAATGGGTTTTAAAATACACTAATCATCAACCTTGGTACGATATTATTACAGTCCTTTAATGCTAACAGATCTATGAATTCATTCACATCTAGAAAGATCATAGTCACTTAATAAAGAGATGAAAAGAGTAAATACAAGACAAAACATAATTTTCTAAAATACAAACTTTATTCATAGAAATATTTTAAGTGTTACATTATTAAATGAGAAAAAAAACACAGATATTTAAGTCTCTGAGGAAACAAAGAAGACAGGAAATTCAGGCTTCGTGTGATAAAGTTTGTGATTCCACAATTCAGCCTTTTTGCAAATGAAATCGTTTGAACTACATCAACAGATGCAATCCAATAAGATTTCCCAGAAAAAGTCTTCAGCTTCACACATTTAGGTCCTATTCACCTCCATTAAGACTCCTCCATCCAAACCGGAGACGATAAGGAGGAATAAACGGGAGTGACTCGTTTCAGCAGGACCCAAACTCCTCGATCCACTTCTCGTACTTCTCCAGGTCAGCGGCAGATACAGATTTGGACACTTTCCTTAGAGACGACTCGAAGTCCTCCATGGTGGTCGGCATGTGCATCTCGTCCCGGGAAATGTTGCGGATCTCTTCTGGAGTCAGACCCTCGATTCGGCGTCTCATGGCCATTAAAGAGGCGTCTCTGCACCAACAAACAAAAAAAGTCTTTTTATATGAACCAAAGCAAAGAGGATCTATGGCAGTAAGTCAGGGCATGCGTGTTTCTATTGATGCCACTGAGTGACCAATTAGCCGGAGGCCTTTTATCCCATCCAGTTCAGCTATTATAGCCACCGGACAAACGCCAATACAAAAATAAATCAATTCATTTAAAACAAAAAAACTTTTTTGTTTAGTTTTTTTATGTTTTTTTGGGGGGGGGGCTTTAACTCATTGACTGGCAGCCATTTTCAGAACAGAGAGTCCCATACTGCCAGAGTTTTTTTAGCATTTTGACTGATTTTTCAAGAGCCATAGAATAGTTTGTGCTATGAATATGTAAACACCGAACACACCAAAAGAAAGAGTAGACTCTCTTCTTTCATCAGGAAAAAAAAAAGTGTTTCTACCTTATTCTGTTCTTCCTGGACTTGCGTCTCACCGGCGCCATTTTTTGCATAGCGAATCGTTAGCTTTTTCTTATTTGCCTACAGTCTATGCTCATCTCCCATCAAAAGTGGCACTGCCCCCTAGAGGGTAAATTTGTTACTACATACTCTGTCTAGAAGCCTCATATTTACGGACAAGCTTTAGCAGATCGTCCCCCAGCCACTCGCGTTGAAAAACATAAAAGACCTCTATAGACGTCTTTGTCAGTCAACGGTTATATTTGAATTGACGGCTGTAGACGTTTTTGGCAGCCAATGAGTTAAGGTGATGCCAATAAAAGTTTTTATTCTTTCCGAGAAATGGTCCGTCTTTGGTTCTATGTAAAGCACATCCGGTGGGCACCACACAGGTTTTTTCTGACAGAAGTCTTTACATGGTTCGTGACTCTTACCGTACACAGGCCGGGCCCACAGCAGAATTTCGAGCAATCACAACCGTGAGGAAGCAGTGACTGCTTCTGCAGTGACTCTGTTTAAAGGTGAGTTAGCCTGGACGGTAAAACCGTTACAAAGGATCCAGAACGCGGTGGCGCGTCTGGTCTTCAATCAGCCCAAAAAATCTCACGTCACCCCTCTGTTCATTGAACTCCACTGGTTACCTCTGGCTGCCTGTATCAAAATCAAGTCCCTGATGCTAGCCTACAAAGTGCTTAAGGGTACGGCTCCCATCTACCTGAATCCTCTTGCAAAGGCTTATGTCACAACACAACTGCCTTCACCACGTTAAGACAATCCAGACTGTTTAATGTGTCGTTCCAAGATGGTGGAACGACCTACCAAGCTCCACAAGAACAGCAGAGTCCCTGTCTGTCTTCAAGAAACTCTTGAAGACCCCCCTCTTCAAAGAGCATCTCCTATCCTAACCCTAACCCGTACCTCTACCCCCCCACAGCTCCTTTTGTAGTCCCTCTACCTCTATCTCCATCTCACCACTGACTCTGATCAGTGTTTCTCTTCTGGATAGCTTATTGTCATAGTGATGAGAAATGTAATATTTTGTGTACTCTGTAAGTCGCTTTGGATAAAAGCGTCTGCCAAATGCATAAACATGAACATAAACATAACAGGCCCCCCTCCCCGCTGATCTGAGGACCGGGCCTGCTGTGTTAAACTCGTCTGGTGTCAGTTGGTGACAGGGTGACGGCTGAACTGACCTGCACACGTTTGTGATGTCGGCTCCTGAGTAGCCCTCCATCTGCTCGGCGATCTTGTCCAGATCCACGTCCCCGGCCAGCTCCAGCTCCTTCAGGTTGATCCGGAGCAGCTCCACCCGGCCGTTAGCTGCAAACACACGGCCGTGAGCAGAGCTCGAAGGGTCCAACCCAGGGACAGCTCAGCCAATAAGGAGCTGGGCTTTAACTGACTGTGGAGTAGCACTTTAGGGATGATTAAAGACTTCTGCACGTCTTTATTTACATCCCCAGCATTTGAGTACCAGTGCACTCTCAAATAATGTCATCATGTCCATAATAAACAATCAGAACAAGCGTTCTTGATCATTTTCAGATCGACCACTGGATTAATTGTTTAAAATCAGCTGGGGAACCTGCAGTGCTGGAGACACATCTGCCACCTTTCACATTTGGAACAGGAGCAAATCGACCCAGCACACTTCAGGAACGAGTAATATTTAAATCTCATCTTCCTGATCATGAGGGCTCTTGTGTAGGAGAACTAGTGAAGAAGAGGGAGCTACAGCAGACCTCTGCTGGAGAAGAACAGACGATCGCATCTGGACTACTAACTCCAATTTATAGTGTAGACGCGCACAGCATAATGTTCAGAAATACTCTAAATGATTCAGTACGGTAACATCTGTACAACATCAGGTTATGAGGTAAGTATTGTCATACTACATGTAAATGACTCCCTGATATCCATATGAATACGGGGATGCTTGGACGTGTACGTGCTAGGGTTGTCACGATACTAAAATTTTCAACTCGATACTCGATACCATTTTCGATACAACAAGGATAAAAACAAAGACCCCAAAATTGAACAGAATTGTGTCTCTCATTTCAAACTGACCTGTTACTGATGTTATCATTACTGGTGGCCCACATTAATGACCCTAACCCTAACCCTAACCCTGACCCTGACCCTCCAGCCTTCATAATTGTGAGAAATAAATATTTTTTGGTTAAACTTGTTTGGACTTATTGTACAAACCTATTTAATATACACTATTTTAACATAATATGTATAGAGTTTAATTAAGTGTTTGAAAGATTCATTTAAATATTTTTAAATGAATGTCTATATTGCCATGAAGCAATTAGGATTTTCTTGCCTGGGATCTTCCTATTGGTGACCTAATAAAAATGGCCGACTTGGATGTGGGCGGAGTTGGATATGTACTTGATTAATGGTAGCATGTCATTATTAGCCATTAGCCACAGCTAACAAGGCTAACGTCTTGTTAATGATCATAAACAACGTAAATAAATACATAAATAAATCTGAGAGAAGGGGGGTAGTATCGATACTTTTGAAAATGAGTATCGTATCCGGATACAACATTTTAGTATCGATACTTTTTTGAGTATCGATACTTTTGACAACCCTAGTACGTGCACATCGAGCTGTATGCCCTCAAGAGGGGAGGTAGTCCGGTTCACCGGAACGCCTAACCAAATACACAGCCAGAACACGGGGATGGCCCTCAGGTTAGAGAAATATGGCCGAATGAGATCAAACAGAAAGAAGATGATCACCACTGAAGGGGCTGACTGACAGCAGCAGATACAGGAGGGGGCTACAAATTCCAAAGAACCACCATAGATTGAGAACTCCCTGCCAAGTATGACAAGAAGTGGTTTATAGAGACAAAAGGGCTTCCCTCCCAAGTTTCCCAGACGGATTAAAGTCGCTTTACTTGAGGGCAGAGGGATATAAATCCTCTTTTCCAGTCGTCTCCTCAAGGCCTCGTCGATGTCCCACGGGAAGTTGGTGGCGGCCAGCACCATCACCATCTTGGATGGGTCGTCATTCTCCGAGGCCCCCCCCACGCCTGCATCAGAGCCACAACAGGGGAACCGAAGCTTTGTTTTGGTGTTAAACTCCAAAACACTAAATTTAAAACCTGAACAAAGCCGCGGGCCAAGATTGAACAAATCGACCTTTTAATATGGAACAAAACTAATTTTGCTTTAACATTGAATATGGAACAAGCTACTCTTTACAGATATAATTACATCATATATAACTCAATACTGGAGACATGTAAAATCACATTTCAAATAAAAAAAAACATCAATGGCATTCATTTATGAAATAAAATTTAAAAACATTTTTATATTCGCAGCCTTCTGAATTAAATATCAAACTAAAAGTTGCTCCTGTTTTCTGCCTTTCTTTTGGTCATTTTTGGGAAGCCCAGTGAAAGCTGTAGTGTACACCTACTGTCACAGAGGAGTTTCTGGGTCCTGCCCTGAACAACAGCAGGGCATTATGGGATATGTAGTAAGAGCGGTTAATGCACTGTACAGCTCTTGTAGTCACTCACGGACCAAATATAATTACAACGCGGGCCAAATTTGGCCCGTGGACCAGAGTTTGACACCCCTGCTTTTAGGGATAAAACCGATCTCAGACCACTGTACCGTCCATCTGCACCAGCAGCTCGGCCTTGACCCTCCGGCTGGCCTCGTGCTCCTCTGAGGTCCCCCTGCGGCTGCACATGGAGTCGATTTCATCAATGAAGATGGTGGTGGGGGCATAAAAGCGTGCCTGTGAAAGGGGCACATGGATACAAATCATGTGGACATATGCTTTTTTAAATATTCATGCACTGAACACACTGGGGTTATAATCAGATAAACCGACAATGGCTTTTTTATGAGGAGATCCCCGACCATTTTAAACCACCTCCAAAAAGTGTACTTGGATGCGTTCAAAGTCATTTTCTTTCGTGTTGCTCTTTGCATACAAAAAGATAGTTTCCATTTTAGCTATAACTTAAACAAAATCTGAGAAACACATCGGTGATGGTGCTAAAACCAACAGTCCGGACAGACCAATGCTCAGCTTTGACAGGAACGTTTGGAACTTCTGCCACAAAAACTCTTAAAAAACATGATTCACAGTACATGCCGGATTCCCCCAGGGCTGCCCCTCTTCTCTGGTCCGGTTTGGGATTTCTATGGGCAGGATCTGGAGCAGTGGTCAGGAGGGAAGAGCTTCTGCTTTGGGCAGATGATGTGATTCTGATAGCTGGTTCAGGCCGAGAGCTTCAGCCAGCTCTGAAGCAGCTGAGATGTCGGCCATCTTTTTCAAATGTGAGGCCGGGGTTCTGACCCAGAAAAGGGTTAAATGCTCTGTCCGGGTCAGTTGTAAGTCTCTTTCACCACAGTCCAGTCTGTGGTGGTTTAGAGGGAGTTTTCCATCACGTGTGATCACAGATCTGGGTAGGGACCCAAAGAATAAGGTGGTGGACGCAAGTGAAGAGACCCAAGGCTAATGTAGAACTCTCTGGGGGGATTAAACCCTCTGGAAGGAAAACCCTGCCTTTTTAAACAACGGGGCGACAACAATGGTGTAATTTCTTTATGTCTGTGACCATAACCGTTGTAAACGCCTAATACACAAACCCACACTGTGAGCTTAGGCCGGTTTATAGTTGCCGTGATGTTCTTCATTGTTGTCTCATGGTTGTGGTGAGTATAAGTGGCATCGTTTTTCTGTTCGGACGCATCGTGAAATGGAAAACCACCTAAACCGTGTAGGGCCGAGCCGTGCCGAACCGAGCCGTGTGGAGCTGAATAACTAGAAGTTTGAGGGTGGGAGCTTTCTCAGAAGAAAAAAGAAAATAAGAATGAAGCACAAAGTGCTACCTGTGTGCATAGATTTAACAGCAATCCCATAAAACCCAGAGACATTCCGGTACGGTTCTGTTGGCCATGAATTAAAATGTCAAAATGAACATATGGCTCACAAATAAAAAAAAAAAAAAAGCAGGACTCTCATTGGAGGAGAAATTAAGACCATACAGTAGAACCTCTACATATGAATTTAATTTGTTCCGGGACCTACTTCGTATGTTAAAATATTCATATGTTAGTTAAAATATTCCCATAAGAGTACACTGTAATACAGTGTACTTGTTCCACAGCCCAAAAAACTACGATAACTCCTTAATAAATACTGCAGATAATTACACATAGCAATAAAACAAATGCCTTATATTAGAGAGATGTAAAAAGAAATAAATTATAAAGAAATTGTCCATAAAAAAGGGTTTTTATTGGCACTTATTGGAGAACGGAGGCGTAGGCTTAGGATACAGGACGTACCCTAACTTACTCTAACTTTCACTACGTCAGTTTTAAACCAAAATTAGCTTATTTATTTTCATTCAGTTTTTATATATATTTTTTCTATGACTTCATGTTGGAAATTTAATTCGGGTGTCATGTTGAATATCTGATCGGATTTCACTTTGGATGTTGGAAAATTCTTATATTTAGGCAATCCTAAGTAGAGGTTCTGCTGTATTTGAAGTTACAGAAACAAAATTAAAAAAGTATTCAATCCTCAGGGTTCCACCTAAACAAACATGAGCTTACCATTTCGAAAAGCAGCCGGACGAGCTTCTCAGACTCTCCTCTGTACTTTGATGTGAGCGTGGATGAGGAAACGTTGAAGAAAGTGGTCCTGCACTCAGTAGCGACGGCTTTGGCCAGCAGGGTTTTCCCCGTCCCCGGGGGCCCCACCATAAGAACTCCCTGAAACAAAAGGAGCGCACACTGTCTACGTGTTGCTGTGTTGGTTGCCTCTCTCTGCTCCCTCTGTCCTTCTCTCTCTCTCTCTCTCTCTCTTGCCCTCTCTTTCCCTCACCCCTAACCGGCCGAGGCAGATGGCCGCCCACCCTGAGCCATGGTTCTGCTCCAGGTTTCTGCCTGTTAAAAGGAAGTTTTTCCTTGCCTGTGTCGCCTAGTGCTTGCTCATGGTGGGAATTGTTGGGTTTCTGTTGTTAACTTCAGAGTAGGGTCTGACCTGCTCTGTTTGGAAAGCTGTGAGAAAACTGTTGTTGTGATGTGGCGCTATATAAATGAAATTGAATTGAATTGAATTGATTTTAATTTTGTAATGTCATTGTTTGAACGTGTGTTTGGACTGATTTTGTATTTTGTGATTTTGTGTTGTTTGGTCTGCCTCAGGACCACAGATGTAAACTAGCAACTGTGCTAGAATCTGGCTCATTTACAATCTGTATGAGATTGTTCATTAATGTGCACAGTCCTGATTAAATAAATAAATACATTTAAAAAAAATAAACGAATTAAAAAAACGGGAACAACTTCCCTGTCACAGCAGAGCGTGTGAGGAAACGCCGATAAGCCCACGGCGGCCTTCAAATCTGTACCTTCCACGGCCTCCGGATGCCTTTGAAAAAGGCCGGCATCCACATTGGCAGCACCACCGCTTCCTTCAGGAGTTTTTTGGCGTCTTCCAAGTCTGCGATATCATCCCTGAAAGATTAACGTGCACAGATCAGCCGTCGACAAGTGTCAGGAAGCCCACAAAGATACTTGAGCAGTTTAATAAGCCATGTGTGGGGGTTTTGGTGGTGTTTTTGTGCATGCCTCTGCATATCAAACCATGTAAAAAAGCTTCTGGGGCAACTTTGAGCAATCAGCAGTTTCACGGGCCAATGAGCCCAGTTACTTTAACAAGGCCAAATTCCTGAGGTTCAGAACTTAAGCTACTAAGCCTAAAATCATTCTAATGAGCTTATCGGAGGAGTTGGACTTGTGCTCATGCTTCTACGCCCCCGACAGAGTTGACCTACCACTTCACGTTCGGGTTCTGAGAAATAATATCTCTCTCCAGAGCTTCCACCAGGTCTTTGTCGTATCCCGTCCCGTCAAACTTTTTCACTTCTTTCTCCTGGAGAAAGGAAAATGATGACAAATACACTATGATAAGCACAAATTGGCAACAGGTCAAGTAAAAAATTTGAGTTAGTAGCCTGACAATGGCTAAAAAGGAACTTTTTAGTTGACATTTTAGTTGACAACCAGCTACCGTGTTCTTATGGGGAAGTCAAGCTATTTTGTTTCTTTTCTCCCTAAAAATTTTTGCAAATCTGACAACTGGGGACATCTGGAGCATTTGTGTCTATTGTCCACTGGTTTTGTGACACACCTTTAGCTCCGTCGTGCCCAGTGGTGCCATCTTTCAGCTGATTGGCCTGCTAAAACGCTCTCAGATCACCGATTGGCTTAAACAGTGAGGTGCATGAACCCCTATGGTAAGTTTGTATCTTTAACTATGGAAGTTCTCAGCCTGTTAAGCTTAAATGCTTAGAAAACAAAAAGCAGCCCAAAGAGCCAAAACTGGAGCTGGAAACATGCTAAACTATCAAAACGGACCAAATAATGGCCTGAATTCATATGAATGCTGTTCAGTTATCATGGAACAGACAGCAGATAGCAAAGATAACATTCCCGAATAATTCAAACGCCAGCATAAACGTAGATGTAAATGACTTGTCCAGGTTTTATGTGTTAAACGGCAAAGTATCAAGTTCTTGTTCACCTTATCGTCCTTGACTTTGCCAGCAGACTCCTTCACCTCTTTGGACTCCTTCTTCTCTTTGGCCTTGGACACTTTGCTTCTCTCTCCGTTGGCCCCCCGGGGGGAGTGCCTCTGCTGGGCCCGCACAGCCACGCTCAGGCGGTGGTTGGGAGGCTTGCTGTCTTTATAGGGGTTAGCAGGACGCCTCACGGGACAGGGAGAATGTCTGAGAGCGGAGAGATAATAACGTTAATAACCGGTTTGGAGCCTTTGGGTTAAAACAATTCTGGTGAAAATTAGGACTGGAAAACAGCACGGGATAGACTTTTGGACTCTGGAGATGAACATAATGAATAAACCTACCACCAACTTAAATGTCTACCTCCCATTACATGTCAACTTTATACATTTGCGATGTATCAATAAAGTCAATAAAGTCTTCTTCAATGAATCATTTTGCTAACATGATTCAATTAAAAAAAGAGATGAACATAATGAATAAACCTACCACCAACTTAAATGTCTACCTCCCATTACATGTCAACTTTATGAATTTGCAATATATCAATGGATCATTTTGCTAACATGATTCGATTAAAAAAAAAAGTGTATTCTTTATTTAGTGGGTCAGCTGTGCTCACTTTTCCTCCTACAACCATAAACTGAACAAAGTTGAATGCTGTTTTACGAGTTGTCTGACAACAATACAGAATTATACAACACAAATATTACTGGACATCACAAATTATGAGGAAAAAGAGGGATTAATCAGGCTGACCGCTCTGCAAATCTTGCTCTTAAACTTCTTTCCCTTTGACCCACTTACATGTAAAAATAAACAAAAAAACACCTGCTTTCTTATTAATTTTTCTAGCAGAATATTTTTCATTGTTAATCAATGTCAGTGCTGCACTTTTTTCTGGAGATGATTCGTGGTGTCCAAAAGAGGCAGATGACCAGTGGAGGCAATGAGAAGACCATTCATGTTCCCCCACCCACTCCTTTTTCCTCAACAATGCTGACTCCAACCAAAGGCCAGCTTCTTTTGTCTGGGTCATTTTCACCGCTACAAATTCAGAAGTTTTTTGCAGTTTTAGAAGTTCTGCTCGCAGACGGCTGCATTGTTATGTCCACCAAAGGTTAAAAGGCAGAGGTCTTTCTTGCTAGAGAGTACAGGCTGACCAAAGGTTGACCAAAAAAACAAGAAATAAATTGAAACCCAGCAGCTGCAGTGTACAGGATGAAGGAGAACTGTTCCCCGTTTAATAACCCAACTCAAATTAGCCACATGAGAAAAAACAACAACAAAAGAACTTACTGAACAATAATGAAAAACATAGCGTAATGCAAAAGATTACAAAAAAAAAAAGATCACCTGTGGAGACCAGAGCCCTATCATCTAAGGTGTAGTTAAACATGGAAAATAAATGGAAAAGTTTACAAAAACGACCAAAAGTATCACCTCTGTTCCACAGGAATGACCCTTCTCTCACAGTCATCGAGGCTGCTGGGTTTGGTCGGCGTCGCGTCCAGCTGGAAGTTCTCCAGGGTGGACATTATATCCTGAACCTGTTGATTCTCTTCACTAATTTCTTGCCACAACTGAAAAATTAAACAAGGAGCATCAGCCCTGAACACATCATATATAACAGTGTTTTTCAACCTTTTTTGAGCCAAGGCACAGTTTTTCATTAAAAAAAATCTCGAGGCACACCACCAACCAGAAATGTCAAACAAATCTGTAGCCGCCTATAGTAACACTATAGTTATTCTTATTTTATCTTAAGTGTCATGAATAGGAAGCAAATAAACACAAAAATGTATTTTTATCATATTTTATATTTCTTCTTTCAAATTGCAATTAACATGTCCACTTCAATATACAAAATAATATAATTATATACAAAATCTAGTCATAAGGAATTATTACATGATTACTCCACCAGTCACTAGAACAGCACAGATACTTAAAAATGGCATATTATTTGCAGAAAATTAATTCCTTATCCAAACATTTTTTTTAAACCAATTAGGTGAAATAGGATGATTTTCTACGGCACACTTGACCATCACTCACTGCACACTAGTGTACCGAGGCACAGTGGTTGAAAAACACTGGTATCTCCCTGGAGATCAATAAAGTATATTCAATTCAATTCAATTCAATATAAGACGCACACACAGGAGGATTCCTGACATAACTACCTGTTGCCATCTCTGCTGGAAGCTGCTGTCTCGAACAGTGTACATGTATTTCTGGATTTGTTCCAGCAACCCCTGGTAGAGAACGCTCGCTGACCGGTAGTTTCCCAGCAGGGCATACTCACGGGCCAGCTTCACGTTCTCACTTATCTCTTGTAGACTCATGCTGCAGATGCTAACCTAAAGACGAGAAAAAAAACAAAAAAAGTTATGTTAGTACGGTGGCTGAGAAGTGCAAAACACATTTACAATAAAAGAAAGAAAACGTTGAAAAATTAAAAAACAAAATAACATTGTTGTTAGGTACACATTCGCAATTAAAGAAACACATCCATCCATTTTGTGAACTGCTTATTCCCAAATCGGTGAAAAAAAACAATATAGCATTTTAAGAAACAAATTCATTTTTTAGGAAACAGACATTTTTGAAAAAAATGGTTTCTTAAAATGTTATGTTTTTTTTTATTCGTAAATGTGTTTTCTGAACTTTAAATGTGTATCCTAAAATTTTATTCAGCTTTTTTAAATCATAAGGTGTTTTTTAAATTGTAAATGTGTTTCGCACTTCTCAGCCACCGTATGTTAGACTTAATTAGTTGCACAAAAACAGATCATTTATCATTTTTTAAGGTGAAAATGGCTCTGGAGCCTCATGGTTAAGACCGTAAAATAGAAATGAACTAACTAACTAAGTATCCATCCATCTGTTGTCTATACTGTTCATTGTTCAATGAACTCACAATGGAAAAACTGGCAATTCTATACAGAAAGACCCCATGGATCCGAACTGAGAACTCAGTTTAGAAATGTTCTAGCATCATATCAACACAAAGCCAATTTCCATCAGTATAAGCCATCATATTTCCATATTTTCTCCATTTGGTGGCCTCAGGAGGATTTTCTTTGGCTGTTGTTATTGTTCTCTCATGCTGTGTCACCATATTTCAGGTTTTTCATCACTATGTAAAGGCATACTAACAGCCATAAATAAATGAGTTTTGCATACACACAGCAAGCAGTTCTTCCAGAACCTTCCTTTGAATTCTGTCCAGGTTCTGTCCCAAATTTCTCAAAAGACAAGTACTGTAGCTTATTCTTCTTCATAACTGGACCATTTGGAAGCCTTTCCACTTTTAGTCCAACAGTCAAAAGGGCAGTTCTGCCCCCCAGGAGCTCTGAACACCTCCCAAACACCCTGGTTTGTAGCTAAACACAACACAGAAGCCCTCACCAGACAAAATAAAATGCTAATGTTCTGTGAAGAGCCATTTTCCAACGAACAGTAGAACACAAATTATTTACATGTCAGGCAAACTGGCATGACTTTACCTCCATGGACCCAACATGCTCTTGCTAACAACTTCGCTGTTACTTTACATTTGGATGACTTTTCTACTTTTTTTACTACAAAATGACAACACCGTCACAAAATTCTACAGACACGTGCGTTCAAAGAACTCGGAAAAGCTCCGTAAATCACAAACTTCTCCACTAAACGGGCCTCTTTAAAGTTTATACTCAACTTTTTGAGGTGGTGGCGGGAAGACCCTTCGGAGAGTCCGTTATGACGACGACCAGAGAGACTCCAGCTGAAAAAAAAAACAGCCAGCTGGAAAACCCGGGGACGGTAGCTGTCTTAATCACGGAAGTCAAAGAAAGTTTGTCACACTTCCATACGCGAATGAAAAGTTTTAACTTCCGACCCAAACTTTCAAAATAAAACCGGAAACTGCCAAACTAATGAGACGTCTGTATGAGTGACACATAGACTGTCAGTATATTTTGTGTGTATATACATATATTTATTTGTTATTAGTTGTCATTCATATTTATACATTATGTATTTTCACACATAAATATATGTATACCAGCTGGATGTACTATGATGATAAGAAATTCAGCATTATATGTATTATATTATATGTATTATATTATTATAGCACAATATATATATATATATATATATATATATATATACAGTATATAGAAATGTTAAAAAAAATAGTGTTACTCGCGTGATGGGATTTGCTGTTCCAAAAAAATATCATCCCATCAAAATCACCAAAAAAATTCTATCCAGTTATGTTGTAAAAAAGATTATATTTGTTGATATATCCATAGGAGGAGTAGACATTTGCAAAATTGTCGTGAAATATGTTTAAGGGGTAAAAATAGCCCAAACTAAATCTCAAAATTTGCCAATGACCATAGAGCCTTTGCTAATTTTAAATCGTTCATGTGCAGAAAATATGTTTTTAATTGAACAAGTTTGGAAACTTTCAAAACATGGACCTTCAATAACATGGTGTCAGCGGGCAGAAGAGCGAGATGTGCGATGAGAATGCTCTTTCTGCTTTCTACTTTGCATCTAATCTATCACTGTGTGCTATAGCCAAATTCACAACACAGACTTCCCTCTTAACATATGAAATCCTATATATATATACATATATATATCTATCCTGGGTTAGATGCTGCTATAATTCCCCATTTACTGCTTATTCCCAGTGGGGTTGGGGGGGCTGGAGCCTATCCCAGGTGACCATGGGTGAGAGGCGGGTACACCCTGGACAGTTTGCCGCTCCATCACAGGGCCACACACCACGTTCACTCCTGAACCACATGCATGTTTTTTGATGGTCGTAACCAAGAGAACATGCAAACTCCGCACCAAAAGGTCCTGGTTCCCCCAGGGACTCCAACCAGCAACCCTCTTGCTGTGGCATTGGTGTTAACTTCCACAGCACAAACCCAGGCCATGTTAACACACCCACTCCCTGTTCAGTCAAAAAAAGTTTACGACAGAGCTTTACATCCTCATTCAATTTCATCATTATTTAATTTCCCTCTTGGATAAATTGTACATTTTTAAATTAAACTGGATAGAATTGAATCCAGCTCTAGGTAGCCAGTATAATGTGAAACAAGTGCATTCATTAGGACTACGCTGAAACTTCTTTCTTTTTGAAGGCATTTATTTCTATGAACCACAGCAAACCAGGTTATATAGCTCTGGGTCAACATCCTTTCCCTGATAAAAAAAGCAGATGGACTCAGGCTGCAGATGATCTCCTCCATAGTTTTGTTAGTGACAGGTTTAAACTGTGTCAGCTCTAGATGTTTAACTGGAGGTGGAGCAGTTATTTGGGTATGGAAATGATTGCATTTTTAATGCCTTGAACTTTGTGTAGAACAAGAGAGTTATTTTTCTGAAACCATCAAAAATGGCGGAAACAACTCTCATTTCCTGTTTGGTACAGTTAGCAGATTAACAAACCCTCCGGTCTAACTACCCTTTGAACTGATGTCTACACTTAAATGTCAAGAATTTGCAATATTCCTTAATGACAACTGTTCTTTGTAGATTTCAGAATGAACCTGGAGCTTGGACTTGTCGTTTCCGTTTGGTTCCCTAACTCTCCATTTTCTGTCCCCGGACCAGGTCTTCTTTTCTCCATGGTGCCTTTGCGTGGATGTGCAAAAATAAAATCAAGTTTTTGTTATATCAGACCAGCGGAAATTTTTAATTTGTTTCAACATTTTTTTTGTAATTTCACTCAATTTAAAACATCTATAACACATAAAAATGACAATATATTGATAGCTTTTGAAATTTGAACTAATTTTGAAAATAGGGGCAAAAGATTTCACACACAAGACATTTACTTGTTGACTTATTGATGAATAAATAGTGAATTTCTATTATCATAGGTGTTAAAGGTTGAAATGATCCTCAAAATATTTATACTGAGCATGTTCGAGATTCGTGAACTCTGTGAATCACATCAGGGCTCTAATATCATCCTACCTTTTACTGTATGGGGTTGCATATCATCTGAAGCCCTCAGGCTCCCCAGCTGATGTTCTTCCCTTAAAAAGGTTATTTCGGTTCTGGGTCATCTGTTATGGCTGTTATTAATAGCAGTATTTGCAGTCAGGTGAGGTTCCCAAAATATTTCAACAGACCACAGTGAGAACACTAATCAAATAACGTAACCTTGATCCAAATTAGCCAGCAGATTTAAGGCCTATTTCAAAGCTGCCCTTTTTCTCTAAGGATTCGGAGAAAATATTATCGGACCAACTGGAAATGGTTCAGACTGAGAGGACAAAGGAGTTGAGAAGGAGATGATACTGGGGCAAGAGAAATATGATAAAGTGGTGGCTAAAAGTTAGAAGTATGGCTCAGGGAAAATGGCAAAATATCAGAGCAGATGCCATACATGCAAGTCTTTCAAGTGGTAGAAGCTTTTAACAATGCTATGAGAGTATTTACGCCTTACTCTGTGGTGCCAAAGCAGGGATTCAATGGTGTGCAAAGAGCAAATTGTAAACCTGACAGCGATGTGACCAATAGAGTTCAGGGAATTGAGGAAAAAGCAAAATGTAATTTCTAATTAACAAGGAACTAGAAATTTAACCTCAGTCATTGTCAAATTGAAATACGCTGTGATCAGATAAAACAATTAACAATAGCTTAAATAAATTAAAAGAATAGAGCATTTGTAATTCTTCCAACAAATATAAATTCTAAAGATAAAGAGTGTTGATATATATATATCCTTAATTCACTTATAAATGTATTTTAAAGAACTTAATAGCACATCAGGTTGCCAGCTTGAAAGAAAATATATTCTTTGGGACTACACTGGGGAAAAAAAGTTTCTTTCCCATCTACCAAAAACAGAAGAATATTTATCAAAAAAAATATTCTGTAAATATTATGTTCCTGGGCCGCCACGCACACTCACTTCCGAGTGACGTCACCGCGGCATTTCCCATCTAAACGCCGTATAAACACTGCATAGAGCGTCATCACTTACGTCACCACCAAACAGCCAATCAGGGCCGGGGAGAGCGTCCGCACGGATCCAGTGGAAGCAGTAGTCGTTTAACCATGGCGAGAAAAACCCCGTCAGCTCGATGAGGGACTTCCTGGTGAGACGGGGATTTTCTCAACAGACACGAGACATAGGCTTTCTGTCGCTAAATTGGATTTAAAATTAAACCATTAGAGCGGAGCGTTAATTTGACAGGGCGGGTGTCAGTCGGCTTTGAGTTGACACATTCGTTGCTAGTCAGAGTTAGCTAGCAAGCTAACGCCAACGTCAGGGCTGCCCTCCGACCATGTCCGCCTCTCCGCCGGGCCACGGCTCGGGCCTCGGTCCCGCCATGTCTATGTTTCGGTGGCTAGAGGTGCTGGAGAAGGAGTTCGACAAGGCCTTCGTAGACGTGGACCTCCTGCTGGGAGAAATAGACCCAGACCAAGTGGACATAACCTACGAGGGGAGGCAGAAGATGACGAGCCTGAGCTCCTGTTTTGCCCAGCTGTGTCACAAAACCCAGACGGTTTTCCAGCTCAACCACAAACTCGAGGTGTGTATGTTTTGTACGATGGGGGGATTAACACTGCGTTTAAAATACTATTTAGGAAATGCCAACTAGCGAATGACAGTACCGTAGGTCAGCTGCTGTTTTCGCCATGTTTTTACTTCCGGTTCACAGCACCAGCCCGTTTGACGTTTATTTTTCTCTACATACATCCAGGTGGATTTAGTTTAGTTCAGACAAGATCCTCAGAGAGTTTCTACACACTTAAAAGGATATTTGCATGCCACGGAGCTGTTGCTGCTCCTTTGCATCAAAACCTGCTTTTAAAATAGTCCAGATTTGTCAAATGAAAGCAACGAAATTGATGAGAAAACATGTGCATTTGTATTAATGCTGTTTTTTTAGGTGTCAACATGGTGCCAACGTAGTCACTGTGTGCAGTAAATGCAGTTAGCCTCCAGAGTGTGCAACAGTGGTGAAGATGAGAGGACTCTTCCAATTGTTCATAAACTTGTATCACCTGATTATAAAGTGATTAAAAAAAACAAATTACACCACAACAAGTGAGTCCAGATAAGAAAGCCCACCAAAGCAGACACACCAGATGAGAGGGGTATGAATTAAGACTGATATTTTACAGCCCTACAGCAGACGTGTCTCTTCACCGGAGCTCTTAAACCACAACCCTGGTCCTCAAGATACACCCAGGACCAGGGTCTTCATCAGCTTAAACTAGATGTCCCATTTATTGAAATCAGGTCTGACTTAAACTGGGCGTGCCTAACAATTCACTTGAGAAAATTCAATCTACTGACATCCAATTTTTCTCAGTTTTCAACACCTCGGAAACTGTTATATCCACATTGAATGAATGTTAAAGGACAGAGGTTCCCTTTTCAGTAAGCATTGACTTTACAGTTCCTACAATTCCCGTCTGGTTCTTTTGCTTCATGCAATGCGGTTCTGAACACAAACATCGTCCTAATCTAAGACTATATCAAGTAGTGGAGCGAAGTTATGGAATAGTTTACAGCCGTGTTTAAAGCAGAGTGTGAACATAAATTTGTTTAAGAGAAGGTACAAAAAATTACTTTTGGATAAATATGTAGACGAGGAAAGATAAAAAAACAGGTAGATTAATATGGAAGAGTGAATGTAACTAATTAAATGAGCAACTTGGGTCACTTGAATCATTAGGGATGGGAAACTTAACAGTTTATACTTCGTCCCATTCCTTTTCGAACAATTTATTATGGTTTATGTATTCATTGTGTTATGTATCCATTGTGTTGTGTTGTATTTACACATCTTATATTGTTTTGTGGTTCGAATAAACTGAACTGAACTGAACTGACAATCTCTAGTCGTGTCCCTTCTCTGCAGGCGCAGCTGGTTGACCTGCGCTCCGAGCTGACGGAGGCCAAAGGCGAGCGGGCGGTGGTGGAGCGGGAGGTGCACGACCTGCTGCTCCAGCTCCACGCTCTCCAGCTGCAGCTCCGGGTCAAGCAGGGCCAAGCCGAGGACTCGGACACCATCAAAGACAGACTGGTCAGCGTCAGCCGATACATTTTCCCTGTCACATCACAGAGGGGACTGATTAAATATTTGTTTAATATTCGGAGCAGGCAGTCTTCCAGGAGGTTGTGATTGGGAGCAATGTCCTGCTCAGTTAAAATCCAGAGGCTACTTTCCTTTTGGACTTTAACGGATGTCTGTGTTTGTTCCCAGCAAACACTGTGGTACCTTTATTGTTGACTGATGGTTGAATTTGACATTGATTAATGGAACTATTGGATCTGCAACCATATGTCTTGGAGAATATGTTGAACAAATGGCCTGAGCTTTCTCAGGGACCAGTCATTTTAGGTTAGTGTCCTTGTTTTTGTAGAGGATGTTATATGTTTGACGTGGGGATGAGGAGATGCACTGCCAAGGTTGAGGTCATCATTTTGAAAATGGATTGGCCTCTAGGGTTGCTAAAAATCAATATTCCGATGGTGAAATGAACAGTATATAGTCCTTTTCCAGTCGAGCTGACCACTGAAAGTGGCCTGTCTGCAGCTCTGTCTTAAATCTGAGCAGAGGAAAGAAGTGTTCCTGCAGCCTTGTCTGGCTTTCTGATGTTCCCGTCAAGGGTCAAAGTTCATCCATCATATTGGACACCGATCTTTCACCCTCTTCCTCTTTCCCCCACTTCTTTGTTTCTTCTTCATTTTGTTTTTCTTCTTTTCATCTTATCTAAAGTTGGGTTCTTATTTCATACCTGACTGGAGCTTAATGCAATAAAAGCCATTAACAAGGAGCTAATCTTGTTTAGTTGAAGGAAACATCTGCCTTTGGACAAACTGTAAGTAAAAAAATAATTTAAAAAAAAGTTTGAAAGATGGTGGATATTCTTTAAATCAGCAGCTTTTCTGGTATTTGCTCTGACATAAATCCATTACTCTGTATAAGAGGAATGTAAGTCCCATGGAGTAGAACAGTGTGCTAGACACATTCGGGGTGCTGATAATCCTGCCTTCCTATTCTCTCCTGCTCTGACTGACTGTTTTGGCATTACTGACATCTATCGTTTCTTTGTTCTGAGATGAGCGTTTTGCTAATCAGTGACTTCTTCCTTTTTCTTCTGCTTCCTTTCTCCTAAAGCCTACACCAACAGTGGAAGACATGGTAAGTGCTTTGTTTGCTTGTTTGGGCATGCCTAGCTGAGAATAGATCTTTAGAGTGAGTGTTCAAACACGGTGTAGTTCGGTGTGTAGTTCTTCTGTTGACCGTGCGGCCTGTAGCCTGACTAAAACTCGCTTTTCGGCTCATCTCTAGCAGCTTTTTGTGTGGAATGCTCAACCTTGTGATACGCCCTTTTAATGCCGCCGAAAAGCTCTGAACCGTAATCAAGTGGAAGAACATTACGGTGTTGGTAGTGGACCGATTAGAAAAGATGCTTTGATGGAGGCTTTTCGGCACAGATGCTATCAGATCTCATTCGACTGGTTTCTTGGGATTCTAAAGGTCAGACGAACACCTCAGACTCCTTTGTTCTTCTATTTTTTTTTGCGGGGCTGACTTTTGGTTGCTGGGAGGCCAGAGGGACTAGTCTGCAGAAAAGGTTTAGCCTGGTGAGACGGAACATCCAGACCTTTTTTCCACGCATACCTTCTCGTGTCCAATCAGCTCTGCATCATTTAGGGGATTTTTTTTACAAATTGGGTCGGTGCAGCGAGGTGAATGAATTTCTATGTGATGCAAATACGACAGTGGAGGACACTGCAGCCAACCTAAATTACTGGACTGCAGTGTTGGTTGGAGTGTAGCCATTTTTCCCACTGATGATCACAGAGGTAATGATATCCCATGCGTGTTTGGGTTTTTTTTTTTTTTAAACTTTATTTTTGGTAAAGTTTTTATACATAGCAAAGCAACACCAACACATACATACAAAAATCAGATAAAATGAGAAAAAAAAAAAAACTAAATAAAAAAAATTAAAAAAAAATCACAAGTACAGTGAACAGCATTCTGAACAGAGAGGTCATCAGGGGGGGGGGGTGGTGACAGCAATATATCGCAAATAAAAAAAAAAAAATTACTTAAAAGCGAAATTTTAGGTGTACAGGTTACAGTGCTTGTTGAATTCCATGAAGAGTCAAACAGGTGAGAGATTCTTTGCAGACTTACCAAGTCCTTACAGTATCCAGAATAATGAAGTTAACAATACTCAGTTTACTTTCGAATTTCTATATATTAACCATTTCGACCAACAACTTTGGTATTTGTTTTCCTGGAGTCTAATAGAGAAGGTAAACATTTCCATTTCACGTATTTCTTCAACAATGGCTGACCAGTCACACAACGTCGGAGGGCTCTCACCGAGCCACCTCCTTGTTATTGACTTCTTTCCTGCTATTAGTAGTATTTTCAGAAGGTACTTATCTTGAGTGTTGAGTTCATTTGGTAAATTACTTAGGTATATAGTTTTAAATTCGCACTCAATTTTGAAACCAAGAATTGCTCTTATCTCTTTAGCTACCTTCAGCCAGAAGGAATGAATCAATGGGCAGCCCCAAAAAATATGAAAGTGGTCAGCCATTACACTGTTACATCGTCTCCAACAAGTGTTTGGGGTTTTTAAAACAGGTATGTTACTCGTGAGGGAGTTGCTCTCATGACTCAACACATCAAAAATAACCTGAAATATCTAATATTAACTTAGCTTAGCTTAACGTACACTCAGAGGTTTTAGCACACAAAGCTGCGAAAACATCGATGCGGAAAGATGGGTTTTCTGAAGCATCGAGATATTTGTTGACATTTTGTGGAAAAAGAAGAAGTCTTTTACGCTGATATTTGCCGAAACAAAAAGCTGAAGTGGGCAAATTCTCAGCTTCTTGCTTAAACTTGTTTCTCAAGACATTTGCTTCCACGAAAGCCATCTGCCAGGAAAAAAATACATAACAGAGAACTCTGAGTGGACTAACTGCACTTTTTCATACACAAAAGATTATTTTCGGGGCTTTGTGTTGTTTTCCACATTGAAATATCATCATCTGCTGTCATGGTGACGGTAAAAAAATTCGTAAAACCATCAAAATACTCGACAAAAGTCTCTACGCCCCTTCTCTTCCGCGTGGTGCAGTTGGTGCTAACGTGGGCTGTGCCTATTGCAGGAACAGGAGCTGGAGGCCAGCAAGAAGGAGAAACTGGCCGAAGCCAGGCTGGACGCAGAAGTCCGACTGTTCAAGAAGGAGAACGAGGCCCTCCGCCGACACATGGCCGTCCTGCAGGCCGAGGTGTACGGGGCCAGGCTCGCCGCCAAATACCTGGACAAGGAGCTGGCCGGCAGGTAAGGAGGCCTTCCCCATCGCAGCTCTGGGTAGAAGTGGACAGGGATCGACACGGCTTTATCTCAATGGAGCAAACTGACAAAAAATAATTGGTGTTTTCTACACTCTAGTTTATTCTAAATGTCATTATCATTATCATCCAATTGATCAAAATGGGAACCATTCTAGTTTGAATTATGGTGGCTCATGAAAAGTTGCCTCCAGTTGCAGAGGGTCCATCCGCAGTTCCATCCAGGGAAAAAGTTTCAGAGAAGCAGCTCCTGGGGAGCCAGATTGAGATAAAAGAGCTAGCTTTGTTCCAGACACAGGGTGTTTTGTTTCTTCAGCCCAATTGTGTTGGCGTCCCTCCATCCGAACCTCCCACTTCTCCAGGGTGGTACCCATCTCCTTCATGCTGTCAGGCATCGTCCCCAGTCTGCCCCCCCCCCAGAGCATCCTGTTTCCGGGGCAACTCACACAGAGTTTGAGTCAGAGTGTTGATGGCCAGCTCCAATCAGCAGGAACCCGGTTATCACGAATCCAAATAAGTATAGGTCCTTAATGTCCTCCACAGAAAAAACAGAAAGGCAGGAGTCCGTAGTTTAACCAGCAGGGTGAGTCCCAGCTGGACCAGAGTCAGCCCAGCCCACCAAATCCAGGGTTAATGTGAGGGTTAAACAGGGACAGAGTCCCTGTAGTACTCCTCTTCTGCTGACTTTGTCAGGTACTCTGTAATCCAGATGGTTGTGGAGAAATACATTCGTGTTTATTTTATCTGCGATCTTTCATTTTGGATCCCCCTCACAGTGAGCTGTCCAGGATGAGACCATCTGCTATTATCAAACCCACCACCTTTGCTTGTGTTGCTGCTCTGGGTGTCTTAGTGACCCCATATCCTCTTATAGAGGAATGAAGAGAGAGTGTGGTAAATGCTCAGTCAGCATTCCACGTGTTCCTGCTGTGCTCCAATCAGTAAGCTCGTTCATTTAGTGTGCCAGGAGTCCGATATTACCCGTTAATATAGAGGAAAGATTTAGTTTAGATTCCTCCACCTGTTCCAACGTCTTGCTCCAGCCTGGCTTTGAACTGTTGGCATGGTAACGCGTCAAAACAGCTGAGTCATTAACACAAAGGGAAGGGACTCCAACCAGCGCAGAAATATGGAGAAAGACAAAAATTAAGAGGAAAGCTTTGGTAAAAATGACAAGACAACACATTCCAGAATGGTACATCATATGCAGGTCATCGTTAATGGGGATTAAGTAAGTAGTTAAAGGACTTGATCTAATTTAAACCTTCCTTTGCTCCACATGGAGATCTTTGGTTGATGAATCAGCTTGAAGTAGGTCAAACAAGACCTAGATATCAAACCCTGGAATGGAATATGCTGTCCACAAAGTTCAGCAACCTATAAAATACATTTATTTAAGTAATATCCCATTTGAATAGCCCCCCTGGTGTTGGGGTCTCCTTCTCAGGGTACAGCAGATCCAGCTGCTCGGCCGGGACATGAAAGGCCCCGCCCACGACAAGCTGTGGAACCAGCTGGAGGCCGAGATCCACCTCCACCGCCATAAGACGGTCATCCGGGCCTGCCGGGGCCGCAGCGACCCCAAAAAGCCTCTGCCCTCCCCTGTGGGACACGTGAGCACAGACCCCACTCACCAGATCCAGCCAGTTCCATCCATGTGGCCCCCCCGGGTAAATCTGACATCCGTTCACAGGACCCCGACATGCTGAAGAAAACCCAGGGAGTAGGTCCCATCAGAAAGATTCTGCTGGTCAAAGAGGATCATGAAGGGCTGGGGATCTCCATCACAGTAAGAGTTCCCTTTCTCTTCCTGTTTTCCTCCATTACATCTGCTCAAAAAAACATTTTATCATCACTTATATTAACTCATTGACTGGCAGCCATTTTCAGAACAGAGAGTCGCTCACTGCCAGAGTTTTTTGAGAATTTTGACTGATTTTTCAAGAGCCACAGAATAGTTTGTGCTATGACTATGTAAACACCGAACACACCAAAAGAAAGAGTAGACTCTCTTCTTTCATCAGGAAAAAAGATTTTGTTTCTACCTCATTCCGTTCTTCTTCGACGTGCGTCTCACCGGCGCCATTTCTCTCATAGCGAACTATTGCGTTTGTTTTTATTTGCTTAGAATCTATGCTAATCTCCCATCAAAAGTGGCACAGCTACGTAGAGGGTAAATTTGTTAGTACATACTCTGTCTGGAAGCCCATATTTACGGAAAAACTTTCGCCGATCGTCCCCCAAGCCACTCGCATTGAAAAACATAAAAGACGTCTATAGACCTCTTTGGCAGCGAATTAGTTAAGTTTGGGGGAAAACGGTAATCAGGTTAAACGGTTTAGAGCATTCCTCTGATGTATTTATTTATTTTAAGGTCTCATAATGGCAATACTCGGGCTACACGTGACAAAAAATTAGTTTGTGGAAGGAATGGATGCATGTTAGGCATGTTAGACGGAAAAACAACATCAGGTACCTGTTTAACATGCAGGAGGACGGGATGTCCGTGGGGTTTTTCCACTCTGCTTCTACTCTTAGAAACCCAGAGCTGGTTCGACTTACTGCTGCGATCTATTGGACCATAAGTCAAGCTTTAAAAATAGAAATTAACGTTTTATTGAGCCATTTTACATAGCATCCCCTGACCACAAATTGAAGTAAGACACATCACAATAGACACAGTTACAACAGGCAGAGTGGACGGTATCTATAATCTGTGTCTAAGAGGGCTTTTTTCACAGAGGAATTCAAACAGGTTACTCTTTCCATCAACTTTTCATCCCATCAGACACCTCGGTATGGTGAAATAAGTCCATCTTTGTACAAAAGTGTCCATAGTTGGCTGCAGGCTTGCCGTCATCGGCTCTATATGCAGTCCATCTCTGGACCCACTGATTTATGGTTTGTGGTTTTATGTCCCTCAGGTTCACGGGAATGGTTTTCTTTGCTACCAGTATAAGAACCTTCATCATCTCTGTCTGATCTGCATCATATCTGTCTTTAGTGGCTCCCAACAAAATCACTATAGGTTATGGGACCACGTCTAATTCCCATTTTTCCTTGATGTGGTTCCATTTTTCTAAGATGTCAGTTACCAACCTTTTGCCTATATTAGATATTCTATTAATTTTCTATGGTATTCTCTGTATTTATTATTATATACAGTATATCCACACTGTCATGCACTGGTTCCATTATTATCTTACACATACAGTGGGGGAAATAAGTATTTGACCCCTTGCTGATTTTGCAGGTTTGCCCACTTACAAAGAATGCTTATTTTTCCTCATCAGATGGTTATCAATTTTTATAAATTCATATGATGTAATTTTCTGGAATTTTCTTTGGGATTCTGTCTTTCACTGTTAGAATGTACATATGTACATATGATTAAAGTTATAGATCGTTGCGTTCTTTGTAAGTGGGCAAACCTGCAAAATCAGCAAGGGCTCAAATACTCCCCCACTGTATGTGCTTTCTTTTTTTCTCATTTCCCTATTCATGACATACTTTCTTTTGAAAAGAAGACCATGGGGTTGGGGAGGGAGGGGTCTGTTCATTTAAGTTCATAAAATGTTAGAAGGAAAAGAATAGAACTTGTACTCTTGTACGTACTTTTTGTCAGCGACTTGCTTTTGGTAAACAAAAATGAGATATTCCGCGGCCTCTGCTGTGTTTCCTGAGGGAGGGAAGGAGCACGGGGTTCCTATCCTGATCTCCGAGATCCACCCGGGCCAGCCGGCTGACCGGTGCGGGGGTCTGCACGTGGGGGACGCCGTCCTGGCGGTCAACAGCATCAACCTGCGGGACGCCAAGCACAAAGAGGCCGTCACCATCCTGTCCCAGCAGGTGAGAGGCGCGCACGTGCTTAGACTTAGACTTAGACTTAGACTGAACTTTATTGATCCCTTGGGAAGACTCCCTCAGGAAATTAAGATTACCAGCAGATACTGGAGAGGCAGCCGTCTACACAGCGCCAGAATCAAATCTTCAGAACCAGAAGAATACAGAATACATTGGGGAAAGCGGTTGCAGGAAGAGGGAAAAAAAGGCCCAGATAGCTTTGTTCCAGACAGAGCGTGTTTTGTCTGCCTTAAGTCCTCAGCAGGTCTCTCAATGGCTAGGGGGGGGACGGTTCACAAAATCCACGGTTAGGTTCGATTCACGGTTTCGTGGTCACGGTTTTCAGTTCCGGTTCGGTATGTGTTGATTGTCAGGAAAATCTATTATGTCTTGTATAGTCAGGTTAAAACTGAAAGAAAAAAGCAGTCTGACATTTGATACATTATTGTGACAGTCTGAGGTTAAAAGTAGGTGAGATTCTGGCATTGGGAGAGGAAACAGTGCTAATTCCAACATGTGCTTCCCTCTAAATGCAAAGTGGTCCATACAGCAGACCTAGAAACTGGTGCTGGTCTGATTTTTATGGGCTACGCTGCTTCTTCTTCTTCTTGTTTCCTACTGGTGGTTGGCTTTGGGCGCAGTAGCGCCCCCTTCTGCTCTGGAGTGTAAACGCTTCCCTCTGAGAAAAAGGAGCAGCGAATGAACCGTACGCAACACACGCCAACCGAACAAGTACATATCCCTGCAGGACATTTTGGACCGTCCAACTCCGCCCATCCAACGTCCAACTCCGCCCGTCCAAGACGCGGCCATTTTGATTTTGATTACGTGATTACGTCACTATCAAAAAGCGCTGCAGCGATATGTACTTGGTTTAAGCTGTTTGAAAATGAGAAAATAGTGAAATTAATCTTGCAAACACTGAATTAAAGTCAATACATAATACCATAGTCGCATGACGTCATCAAAATGGCCGAGTCTTGGATGGGCGGAGTTGGACGTTGGACGGGCGGAGTTGGACGTCCAAAATGTCCTGCAGGGATAAGCGTCTCCAACCGAACCGAGGCAGTCCAACCCAACGGTTCTGACGGTTTTCAGAAACCGTCCCATCCCTAGCACGTACGCATGCACGCCCACACAAACCGCACAGGCTCACGGCGGGTGTTTTTTTGTGTTTTTTTGTGCGTCAGCGGGGGCAGATCGAGTTCGAGGTGGTGTACGTGGCCCCGGAGGTGGACAGCGACGACGAGAACGTGGAGTACGAGGACGACAGCGGCCACCGCTACCGCCTCTACCTGGACGAGCTGGACGAGGCCAGCGGCAACGCAGCGCCCCCCGGAGGCAGCTCCGCGCCACTGCAGGGTGAGACCTGGGGGGGGGCTGAGCTGCTCTACTGAAGCTGCTGGAGAACAGCTCTCTGGGCTGGAAGTGGTTAAATAGAATTAAACAGACCTGGACCTACTCCTGCTTCCCCCCAGTGACAGAAAATAAGCCTGTTAGGTTAACTGAAGACCCTAAATTGACAGTAGGAGTAGGGTTGTCACGATACTGAAATTTTCAACTTGATACCGATACTTAGGAAAATATTCGATACTCGATACCACAAGGATAAAAGCAAAGACCCCAAAATTTGACTGAATTTTGACAGGTTAGTGTCTTTCAAACTGACCTATTATTGATGTTATGGTGGCCCACATTAATGACCCTAACCCTAACCCTAACCCTAAACCTAACCCTAACCCTAACTCTAACCCTCCACCCTTCATAATTGTGAGAAATAAATATTTTTTGGTTAAATTTGTAAATTATAGTACAAACCTATTTAACATCCACTATTTTAACATAATATTATGTATAGAGTTTAATTCAGTTTGCAAGATTGATTTAACTATCTTTAAATTAATGTCTATATTGCCATGAAGCAATTATGATTTTCCTTATCAAAATGGCCGACTTGGATGTGGGGGAGTTGGATCTCCATCCTTGTTCCTGCAGTCTGCAGCCAGAAGGACTTGATTAATATTGGCATGTTATGATTAGTTATTAGTATAGATACTTTTGAAAATGAGTATCATATCCGGATACGTTTTAGCATCGATACTTTTTTGAGTATCGATGTAAAAGCTGCTTCTCTAATCCGAACCTCTGTCCACCCCCCCCCCCCCCCAGCGCTGGAGAAGATGTCGCTGAGCAACGGGCCGGAGAACGGGAATCCCGGGAACGCCTCGGAGTCCGCGTCGGAGGGAACTCCGTCCAAACCCCCGGAGACCGGCGGATCCTCCTAGAGCCTCGTCAGGAGTTCAAAACAAGAGAGGAACAAACGAAAAACTGAGAGACAATCTGAGCACCGAGGGAGAGCAGAGCGTTACTGTCTGTGTTGTGTCCGGGAAAGGGGGATGGGAATGTCGTGGGGATGCCTTTGGTCTAAAAAGTACGTGTTTGAGTCGTGTGTGAGAGCATAAGGAGATTAATTTGGGGATATTTTATGACAGTACTGGCAGGAATCTACAGTACAGCTGGATTTGAAATGACAGTAGAAGCAACAGGAACAACCCACATTTCTTCCTTTTGTTTTGTAGTCCTTTTTTCCCCATTTTATTTAAATTTTTGTTTAGTTTTCTTCCCTCAGAGTTACTGCCACAGAGATGTATACTGATAAACCTGGAATGACCCTGAGTTAAAAGGTGGGAAAAAAGTGAAACATACATTAACACCCTTCTTAGGTCTGATTGACTTATTTAGCAAGAATGATAAAATAGTATCTTTATTGGTCAGATGTTCAATAAGTCTCTATAATTAGCTGTCAGATGCAAAAGTAGAAAAACCCTCATTGCTTTTTGCCGTCATATGGAAATCGCCACCAGACAAAGTAACAACTGGTGTCCCATCTAAAAAAAAATCCATGGTATTTTCAGGGTGTTTTTGTCTTTTTTTGGCCTATTTTGTTTAGTGTTTGCTAGTGTTTGATATCACAAATCTTAAGTACACCCAGCTCCACACAGGGGAACTAAACAGAACCATCCCAACAATCTGATGTGGATACGTGTTCATTTGCTTTGTCTTGTTTTTTTACTTGGACCTGTTGACATCACAAATACAACAGATTTAAATCAGGAACGTCTCACACTATTGCGGCAAAATTCAACAAACCTGGGACAGGTTTAAATCAGTTTCTGCCTCACAAACGAACCAACACGGGAATCATGGAAGTCGGGTCAGGAAAGTCCTGCCTCTTGTCTGCTGGCTTTACTTTGCACATTCTCCCCGTTTGCCTTTTTCCTCTCTGCTAGAGGTAAAGAGAAACTCCTAACTTACACTACGTACACCCCCCATCTCCATCTCCAACTATCGTGTTACTGAGGAGCCTAATCAGACGTTTATTCCCTTTGCCAAACAAAGTTTGTTTCCCTTTCAACCCTTTCTTTGTTCATATATTGGAATTACATCTTTCCGGCTGGGTTCTCATGAAAATGCCCAAAGTATTCCCGTTGCGTTTTTAATATTTAATTTTTTGGTGGCATTTTGATGCTGTTTTCTGTCTTCCTTTTTTTTGTTTCTGTAGTATTTGGTTTCTGTTTAATAACCGTGCTAATGTGTGTTTTTATGGGTAGATCTTTCTTTTTTTTCCCCTAACCAATAAAATTAGTTTCCAGTTTGGTTTATCTGAAATGGCTTTTGAGAAGGCTTTATTTAAAGTAGGACTTGATTGTATGACCAATAAAGCAGCGGCATTATTAACCATAACCCTTATCACAAGTGTTGAGCTGTACTTGGCAGACTCCTCAGGTTCAGTTTATTTAGTTTTTTGTTCAAGGTCCTTTTTTTTTGGGATATAAATGAATCAGATTTCTATAATATAAATTCTTTGGGCAGCTTCTCGTCATGTGGCCATCATCTCAGAGTTTCAGGAGATCTCTAAGCCATGTTTGGGATGTTGGGGGACGTTTCTCTTCCAAATTCAGGTCAGTGAAGGCTGTGGAAAACTTTGAATTGGATGATTTTACGTCTCATTTGAATGGAAGAAGAGTGAACTCTTATCTGACACCTGCTCCTGACCTCTGACCTTTCAGCTGGATCGGGACTTTGTGAATTTGACGAGTTTCCCAAATTGAAACGACCCATTTGAACCGGGTTGAATCTTTAACTCTTAGTCTATGAGAAGGCTAGCTGGTTGCATAGGGAAAACTGGAAAAGCTCCATGCTATAAAGTTGCAGAGCTTTAAATATCTACAACTTTCACAGTTTTTTTAGTGCACATCACGTCTTGATCTTTTAAATAAGTTGCAATAAGTTACAGTCACTTGAATGATTTATTGACGTTTTCTTTTGCTCAGAGCAAGCAATACAGACTTAACCATATAACTTTGATTCTTTAAATGCATGGTAAGAAGGCTGACTTAAATAGATTTAAATGTAATCCTGATTCTATAGTGGCCATTAAACAAATAAAAACAGGAGTATTCTAATTTGCTGCCCTATCCCTACGCAGCACTTCTTTTTAAATAAGAAAGGTTCATTCTCAGTTTGTCAAACCAGTGCTGATAAACCATTCTTTTTAGATGACTTGCATGTTTCTAAAAAACAAATCCAAACAATTGTGTTGATGAATATCTCCCATAGATCAGATCTACTTATTTTAATGTTAATTTTGAGGCGCCGGGGACGTTAAAATTTGGGGAAAGCATGCTTAGAAGGATTTTAGGCAGATTATCAGTGGTGTGGTAGCAGGTTTTCTGACTGGTTTTCTACCTTACAACCTTACAGATTATGCTAATTTCATGGGTGTAGATGTAGTAGTGGTAAATATTTTTGTTTTGCCATGGCTCTTAGTGGAAACTGACTCAGAGGCATTTATACATGACAGAGAACTTAAAAAAATGCAACCCGGGTTCTCAGTAGAGAATCGCTTTAATTCCATGCCAGATATTTCAATAAAGGGAAGCGAGAAAAAACTGTGCATAGTGCTTCCATAGATAAGACAACCCACAATATATTTAGAAAAATAATTTTAGTTGTCATGTTATTAAAAAAAAAGAAAGATAACACCTCCGATAATGATTGAATCGATAGTAAAACTAAATGAATTTTAAGCAAATATAAGTTACTTTTACAAAGGAACAATCCAGGCGTGATTAGACAGAACACAGACTTTGAACAACACCAGAAAAATTGGGTTTTTTGGGGCTAAATACAGCGTTTAAATGTTACAGTCCATTCATGCTAAAGACAATATGCTCATGTGTTTAAACCCTCTGATTGTGGATCCCAAACTTTTTCTAATCCCCCACGTTCCACACACAGCCCATCTAAAAGTGCATGTGCTGCTTTTAAATGTTCATCATAACCATTCTGGAGAGACACTGTGTGTTTGCCAGCTATACCAATGTCCAATGTGGTCAGTGTCCAAATAGCCCATTATGACCAAATGTAAACCTTTTAGGGGGGATTTCCACAAATTGATCGAAAATGGAAAGCTAAGAAATCACATTTAAATAAGTATAATCACCTGGTGATGAAGCTCAGAATGGAGAAAAGGTGCACTCTGTATCCACTAATCCTTGAGATGTTTCTGCAGTTGGATGGAGTCCACCTGCTGGACATTTAGTTGATTGGACATATTTTGGAAAGGAACATGCCTGGTCTCATAAGGTCTGACAGTGGACACTATATTTCAGACTGCAAACACAAGCTTGAAATCCTTAATTAGTGAATGTGTTAGGAAGTGGAAGTGTTCACCAAACTGGCAAACCCTGAGATGGGCTGTTTGACCAGGGCAGGAAACCTGAGTCTGCTGGACATGTGCTGCTGGAGGGTGGGAGGTGTGGGGATCATAGCAGGAATGTAATGTGCCAGCTTTCAAATATAATCCTAAATATATCCAAAATTACCTCCTTCAGTTCTATACAGATCAAGGCTGTAGCTGGAACAAGAGTCTGTACCGTTCTGAATCTTTTACACAGAGGATGACCACACAAACTGCTCTGTTTTTGGGACTCCCTGACCTTTCTGAGTGGTGATGCTGGGTCCCAGCCTGTCAGAGCCAAAAGGTGACCACAAGAGCTCCAGTTTCTGCTGTGGAGAGAGGACAATAAGCATCTGGGTTCTGCTGGACTCCCTGACTGCACCACCAGTGGTACAATCCACCAAACTCCCGAAAAATACCTTGAAATGTACTTTCCCGACAATAAGAAGCCATGCCATAGATGGTACATACCATTTTGTGCATTATGTTCCCAACATAAATGACAGTTTACAAAATAAGACAAAAACTGAGTTTTCAGTTGGACCAGTTAGTGGTGTTATTTCAGGGAGTAGTCCGGTCCAAAGAGGTTTAGGAGTCTATCAGAAGCACGGGGAAACAGTTCACAGTTTTTAAGTAACTAAAGTGGCCTGAGACGAGATTTGCTTGGATTTGGAGCTGATAGAAACTGACCTGAACAGAGTAGAGAGTTTTTATCACGACTGTGGGGCTTTAAAAAGCCGCAGTAGCTGCTAGCTTAGAGGTGATGACGTAATGGTTCTTAGCCTCAAACTACGTTGCTGTGGGAATGATGGCTGTCCTGAAGTAGCTAGTCCTGTGTGTGTGAGATATGGCGTGTTTATGTCTGAGATATGGCGTGTTTATGTCTGAGTCTGGAGGCTCTGGGGGTCACTGCGCGGTGCAGCTGTCCCCCATAAACTGGGCGTAGCGGTCTGAGATGCTCCTCCTCAGCTCGTCGATGTCCCTCCTCAGCTGGTTGACCTCGAACAGCTTGCAGCTCAGTTTGTCTTCCGCCTTCGCCACTTTGGAGTCACTCTCGTCCGCCGTAACGCTGAATGCTGGAGAAAGGAAACCCAGAGTGAGAATGTTTGTCGTAAGAAAAGCAATTATCAACTAAAGCTGCCACTTAAAATCACACAAAAGTTACATCTCTTATACAAAGACAGCGACTTATAGTCTAAAGATCTTAAAGACCTTCGAAATCAGGGGTGTCAAACTCAAAAACACAGGGGGCCAAAATTTAAAACCTGAACAAAGCCGCGGGCCAAGACTGAACAAATGAACCTTTTAATATGGAACCAAACGAATTTTGCTTTAACATTGAATAAGGAACAAGCAACTCTTATTACACTATGTATAACTTAATAGTGGACACATGCTAATTCAAACTTCAAATAAAAAAACACATCAATGGCATTCATTTATGAAATAAATGTAAAAAAATGTTTCTATTCACAGCATTCTAAATTAAACACCAAAATTGAATTTGCTCCTGTTTCCTGCCTTTCTTTTGGTCATTTTTGGGAAGTAGCACAGTGTCAGTTGTGTGTCACAGAGGAGTTTCTGGGTCCTGTCCTGAACAGCAGCAGGGCATTATGGGAGTTGTAGTATGAGCGGTTAATGCGCTGTACAGTATAATACCAGCTCTCGTAGTCATTTGGTATTGTTTGGCAGGCCAAATATAATTACAACGCGGGCAAGAGTTTGACACCCCTGTCTTAGACTATTAAATCGGGGGGTTGTTGCTAACTGTTAGCCCTCAGACTGTTGCTAACTAACTTAGCCCTCAGTGGTATAAGAGTGCCACACTGTGCTCGTCCACGGTAAATAACTGTGGATCAGCTAGCGGTCAGTGTGTGAAGCTCTGCAGAAGCATGAGGCCTGGAGGTTTGCATCGTGGACGTACACTCCATGCTCAGAAGCAGAGAGAGGTTGGGCTCCTTCCCCTGGGCCCTCTGGGCCATGATGCTGCAGAGGGCCTGCAGGTCCAGCAGACACAGGGACATCTCCTTCAGCAGCTGCTCCACCTCCGGCACGCCCCCCTGAGACCAATACGGCGCCGGCAGGCCTTCGTCCTGCTTCACAGGGGATGGAGAGGCATAGCATTGGGTTGAAATCAGCAAAAATGAATAGCATTAATATCATTGCCATTTTTCATCTAGTCTATGTGTTGCTGTGTTGGCTGCCTCTCTCTCTCCCTCTGTCCTTCTCTCTCTCTCTCTCTTGCCCTCTCTCTCTCTCACCCCCAACCGGCCGAGGCAGATGGCCGCCCACCCTGAGCCATGGTTCTGCTCGAGGTTTCTGCCTGTTAAAAGGAAGTTTTTCCTTGCCTGTGTCGCCTAGTGCTTGCTCATGGTGGGAATTGTTGGGTTTCTGTAGTTAACTTCAGAGTAGGATCTGACCTGCTCTGTTTGGAAAAGCGCTGTGAGACAACTGTTGTTGTGATGTGGCGCTATATAAATAAAATTGAATTGAATTGAATTGAAAAAAAACATGCTCAGTCAGATCTGACCACGATCGGGAGGATTGAGATTTTCTAGACACAGTGGGTACTTTCAGAGAAGGGTACTTTCATAGTCTTAGAGTCATTATTTATGGACCTATGCTATCAGGGTCACAGATCTCAGATTGGCTGATGGACAGATGAGATGTATCTGAACACCATAGCCTAAACAGCAGCCTGAATGACCAGAACAGCCAGTAAAAGCACGGATCAGTAACACGGCACCGGGACACCGGGGCTCCGGGGGCTGCTACCTGATGGAGAGCTTCCAGCGGTGTGGACGTTCTTCCCTCCGGCTGCTGCTGCTGCTGGGGAGGAGGGCCTCTGGATTTCTTCAGTCTCGTCCTGGTTGCCTAAGAAGAGACAACTGAAGATGAGCACCTTTATTTACTTTTGTTCATTTCCAATTTAGATGTTTCGATGCCTAAAAGCTTAGATGTTATATCTAAGTTTGGCAAACTTTAACAAAAGTGTTTTGATTCCAATTAATTTGGCTGGAAATTTCTCCTTTATTTCACATAATTCAAAACCACGTGGGGTCCCTTGACACATCTGGGAGTAAAAGCTACAAGCAACTATAAAGATTTTTTTCCGAACGTCTTCAAAGCTAAATTTAGTCAGATTAAGACAGATTTCATTTGTTTCTCCACTCTGTCGTTGTCTTCACCTTGGATGTCTTAATTCTGTTCAAATGGTAGGCTTGCCAAAGCTTTTCTACTTATTCTTGACTATTCAAAATTTTCTCTTTACCAAAATCTTATTTTAAGGAACTGGAGGACGTGAATACAATATTAAATGATGACAAAAGATTAAAAACAGAATATACAACAGAAGCAGGGTCACTGGTGCTATAGTTTTTTGCATATATAATGGATTAGTTTGTTATTGTGCTCATACAGTACTATCCTCTGGATAGACCGCACTACTGAATATGCTGTTAATCTTTTGTCTGGGTTCCATGTAGTAAGAATTAATCATCAATTATCTTTGAAAAAAGTCCGAACAAACGGACAGGAGTACAGTGACAGTCCAAACACACTCCGTCTGAGCCTACCATTAGTTGGGAAGTCAGCCTCTCGATCTCCTCCTTCTGGTGTTTGAATAGCTGTTAAAGGAAAAAACGCGGCGGGTCAGCTTCCTGGAAAGTGAGAATTTGCACGAGCGCGTGTTTGCGTGCACATACCCTGCTGCTGTGATCTTTCTGGTGCAGAAGCAGAGTGTTTTCCACCTCCAGCCTCTTCAGGTCCTGCATGGGCAGCCTCACCCCGTCGTCCAGACACTGCTGCACCTTGTCCTGCAGACTGTAGCAGATAATAAAGGACAATTAGTTCAGGTGTAGTCCTCTTATTTAGGAAAGGAAGTTAGTATGAACAGGGCCGGAATACAGGCTACAGGTTTTGGATACAACAAGTCTCCAGTGGCTTTAAAAAGCTGCATCCTGTCATCACAGCAACATCAAAGTATCTGAATATTTTGGTCAGTCAAATGAGCTGAGGACGGGTTTTTATTTGAGCATTTGTTTATCACCTACCTGTGCACAGATGCTAATAACTCCTTTTCCCTCTTGGCCTGGATGCCAATCATGACGTCTTTCTCTTTAATCCGGGCACATCCTTCCTCTAGGTTCTTCTGTAGCCGGGTCACGGTTTTCTCCAGATCTTTGGCTTTCTGCTGCAGTTCCTCCTGCTGAGCACATCAAGCAGACAGCGTGCTCAGAACAGCTTTGTATCAAACACAAAGACACAAAGCTACTCTGTTTTTTTTTACTTTCTTTAAAATTGTGCATTAGTGTGGAAGGCAAAAACTAAGAATTAACACCACTTATAGGTTAAAATCCATTTTCCATTTTACTCTATGGCTAAACTTAATTGAAGAAACCTTCAACACCCTAAAGAAAACTTCCTGCGTGGTATAAATATTATGTTACATTTATTAGGTCAACTCATTTGTCTGGGCAAAAAGTTGATCGTGTCAGAGTTGTTGGTGCCATCGGTAATGACCTACTTGTTGAGTGAGTGTGGACAGGTCTGGATCGATCTTAATAAAGAACATTAAAGCCAGCAGCCAACACAAAATGACTGTACAAGATTGAGAACTCAGAATCTCTTGCGTAAAGAGCCTCTGGCAAAATGGTTCTTCGAGAAAAAGGAAAAAAGGTGAAGTATTACTATCGTGATATAGATAAAATAGGGTGGGGGGGGGCAGCTGGGCCAAAGGCGGGTACCCCCTGGAAAGGTTGCCAGTCCATATATAGACCAAGGAGAAAGATAAACACACACTCTGAGTATTTAGTGTACGTAGAGTGTAAATTACGGTGGCCAGGAGGGGTCAACGCAACAACATAAGCCACATCAGAAATTATCCTAAAACAGAAGATATTCCAAAACTGAGTTAATCTAGATGGTGGTAGCTGGAATTTACGACACCGTAGAAGGTATAATTACAATTGAGGGCTGTTTTTCTCAATACCAAGTACAGTTGTGGCTCATTTCCACTCCTGCCTACTCAACACAGCACGACCCTACGTGGCATTTTTGCATTTCCACGAGAAGCTGACCCTATGAAGCAGTCACAACTTCATTACCTACTCTGCCAGGGCTCCAGGGTCACATGATTACTCAATAAGGCAGATCCCACCTATTACAAAAACTGGGCAACAATCATAAACGTTGTAAATGTCTAATGCATCAAGCACCCAGACCCTAGCAGGCACTAATAGAACACTATCAGGACACTCACTCCAGTTCCTCTCCTTTAAAACAGAGACCAATATATTGGCTCCTGTTCCCAAAGTTTATCAGTGGATTTAAATTATAATCAAACAGCTAATCCATTCTTTTGATGTTTCCTCATGTCCCTGTTCCCCTGAAACATCTGGTGTGTATCCCAGATGTGGCCTGCGGTCAGAGGGGCGGGTGTACCTTCTTGGATTGGACGTGCACTTCATCTGGAGTGGGCAGATCAGAGAGGTACTTCTCCAGCGTCTCGATGCGCTGCTGTTTCTCCTGGTTCTGCTCGCTCTCCCTCTGACACTTCTTCTTCAGGCTGCTGATGTATCGATCTCGCGTCTTGATCTGGAGATGCAACAAAAACCATGCCGTGAGGTATTTTGTGTGCACTAGACGCCGTATTCGTACATCCTTCCTCCTCCAAGTTAATGACAGAGACGGAATCAGTTCAATGATTCGTTACAAACTCCAGAATTCCATTTCTGCTAATTTAACTGTTATTGAAGACAAGATCTGTTACAGATAGACGGAATAAACACAAAGCAGCTGACAAACATGAGTAAATATGAACTGCGATATCTTTTTTTAAGTTACCGTAACATTTATGGCATTACATCCGAAATACACCCATCATATTTTCTTAAAAGATTTTTTGGGGTATAATCTTGTCTTGATTTCCTCTGAAAAATTTACTTTTTTACTCAGAGTTGACCAGGACGTGCATTCAGCTGAGGGGTCTCCTCTTTAACTAATCTTGATTTGAGATCTTTTACCAGGCATTTCTTTGGTTTCGGAAGGCTCAGCTCGCTGCTTCAAAGGGATAAGAGCTCTCCTGTTACCATGGTTACACCGATTTTAAAACTTTTGTTTCCAGCACCCACATAAGCGCATCAAAATGTTTCAAAAATATGTTTTGCTGTGGAAAAAGAAATCTACATCTAAGAAGCTGTGGCAGACTAGGGCAGCACCATAGTGGAATTAAATTCAAAATTTGCCATTAAATCCCCTCTAAATAGCCAGTTGTACCTTTTCCTCCAGTTTTCTGATGTCCTCCGTATACTTCTGTGTGACCTGAATGAAGAACTTGTTCAGGTGGAGGACTTCGAGCTCAGCCATGGCTAACTTCCTCCCCAGTTCTTCTTCACAACAGGGCCTTTCCGATGTGTGCCTGCAGGGCGCTCTCACTGCTGACTCCTGAGGGACGAGACCACTTGCTCGCTGAATTCTACGATGGAAATACTGGAGTTTGAAAGCTTCATTCGGCTTACCTCGATATTAAGGGCGAGGGGGTCGTCAAACAGGCTCCTCTGGCTCTGGAGGACATGCTGTGCTCTAATCTCATTTTCTCTTATCCGGGCATAAAGCTGCAAGATCTGCTGCTTTTGTCTGAAACAAAGAGGCCGCTTGAAATATAAAGGGCTGCTTTACAAATGATATCACACGGTTGCAGATGAAGCTTTACGTCGTCATAAATGATGTTACGAAACCAAAGTTGCGTGAAACTCCATTTCCCTAATCGGCACAAATATGTCCGACTAACTTGGTAGACTCAAATAATCTCACCGGCCACTTTATTTGGAACACCTACCAGCTACTCATTAACGCAAATTTCTAATCAGCCTATCACGTGGCAGCAACTCTGGGTGGAGTCTGTATGTTGTCCTGTGTCTGTGGGTTCTCTCCGGGTTCTCCGGCTTCCTCCCACCATCCAAAAACCTGCATGTTAGGTTGGTTGGACTCCAAACTGCCCTTAGTGTGAGTGTGTGTGGTTGTTGGTCCTTGTGTGTCTCTGTGTATCCCTGTGATGGACTGGGGACCGTCCAGGATGACCCCGCCCCTCCCCATTAGCTACTGGGATATGCTCCAGTCCCACCTCGGCCCCATTAGGGAATATGAGGTTATGATAATGGATGGAGATTGGCATCATGGATGTCCAGCCAACAAATCTGCAGCTATTGTGTCAATATGGACCAAACTCTCTGAGGAATGTTTCCAACACCTTGTAAAATCAATGGCGTAGGATTAAGGCAGTTCTGAAGGCAAAAGGGGGTCCAACCCGGTACCAGCGAGGTGTCCCTAATAAAGTGGTCGGTGAGTGTAGGTCTCACTAATTGGCACACACATTAGCTAAATTCTGTTGCCTTATACCTCCCTCTGTAGGACCAGAGGAATGTCTTTAAGCTCCCTCGGTGCTGGTTCAGTGTCTGGTTGTGGTCAAACTGACATCGATTTAGCGCGTTTTGGTTTGTTCTGCCATTTGTATAACATTCCTCCGTACCTGTTTATCTCCAGCTCCCTCTGTCTGAGCAGCCCCTCCTTCAGCTTCACCAGAGTGTTTCCAGGCAGGGAGGCTCCCATCAAGATCTGGTAACACACAAAGGGATCGTTTAACCTATTGGTTTAACAGAGAAAGAATTCATAGGAAATGTTTAAACTAGGGATGGACAATGCCTTGAAACAATATTTGACTGAACAGCAGTTACTTTACTGATCAAACATAAGTGAATAGGCCATAGCATTAAAGCCACCTCAATAAAAAAAAAAGTCCCGATCCGATACAAATGTCGACTCAATGTGGAGTCTAACTGAGGCCAGTCGGAACTGAAATGATGTGAACAATTAAGGAAAAACAAACAAAAACAAAGTAATGTGGAGCAAAGAGTTGATTTCTGCCGTTTTGTAAGTTACAGACGAGTGGCATCACTTTTCACTTCTGCTTCCTTTCAGATTTATTTATCTCCCTCCTGACACTGGAGCAGTTTTCCGACATGAAGACCAAATAGGTTCAGGGGGATGTGGACAGTCCTGTCCACTTTAGATGAGATACATAAAGAAAAAGCTCCAGCTGCTTTTATGAAAAACGCCCAGGCAAATACTTCTTTAATTTGGAAAAAAACAAAATATATAATGGAAAATATAATCTAAACTAAAGTATTATGTCAACAACATGAAAAGGAGGGAAAAATACCCTAATGCAGCAATTTTAAAGAATTTAACTCAAAAACATTTTCTTCATTTAAATAATCAGAAACTTATAGAAACAATAACTTTCCTTTAGAGATAGTAATAGAAATAGAAGGAAATAGACCGTTTTACCATATTGTTAACTATTATTCTTAATTAGTCTGTAACAGACCCTTTTATCACATTTACTTGAATGTATTTTTGCACCTTTGTAGAGAAAATATTATTTTCATAGTCCAAAAAGATACAGTGTAAAAATACTCCTAAAGGACAAGACTACTTGCTTGGTAAATTCTTCAATGGAAATGCTGGAATTTGAATACACTTTCTTCACCTGCTGGTGTCCAGGAGGTTGTACTTGAGGGCTGAGTGGAGAAACACTGGCTGTGTGTGAGAGCTGCTTAAATAGTTGACTTCCTGTCTACTAACGCATGTCACGTCTTCACCTATGCAGCGCGCTTGTGTGCATTAACCTGGAGATTAGTCTTTAGAATTCCATTCGCATTCCCGGGGAGGAATGTAGACGCTAATGCCCAGATGCCAAAAAGACAAAAAGAAGTCTCTCTCACGGACCCGAAGGTTGACTTCCTTACCAGTAAAACAGTTTTACAGTCCCTGAAAGGCTTTGAGAAGACCCAGCCCGTCCATGTTCCATTTGTGACTCGTAAAGATAGGAACTATTGTCTTTAAACCCAATTTCAGCCTCACTGCACAAACTGTGTGTTTTACATCTTTGTTAAAGTCATCTAAGGTTTTCCTAAATATCTCAAGCTTAATTTTATCATCCCTTCTGTTTTTCTAATCTGGACTGTGGAGTTGTGACATTTATCATAAACGGTGTGGAGCCATAGTTCCATCTAGTGGTCAGTAGCATCAATTAGTTAGATTAGATTGGATTAGATAGATTAGATAGATTAGATTAGGTTAGATTAGACTAGACTAGAATAGAATAAAATAGATTAGATTAGATTAGATAGATTAGATTGGGTTGCATTGGATTAGATTGGATTAGATTGCTTTATTGATTCCACAATGGGCAAATACAAATTAGACCTAAGGACTGGATTATAAAATAACTAAACGGGAAAAAACATTTCTTTGCACTACTTTGTTTAACATACAAGGATGAATATAGTTCAGTTCCTGTACTGAAACACTTTTGGAAATTGAGAATATTTTCAGGGTTAACTTCAGATCAATATTCTTATCCTTCTTTCAGATCATTATCTTATATCAATTCTATTATCTGCATAAGGTGATGTTTGAAAAAGCACCAAAGATATTTTTGTAAAAACCTAAATAATTAAGAGTTTATTGTTTTCTTCCAGCTCTGGGTTTTATCAATGTAAGATTTATCCAAGAACTGAGCTTTTTATACACTCCCAAATGTTTGAGACATATGACAGTTTTCAAGATTAAATTCAAGCCACTTCATGTCGCCCCCTACCCCTCTTATTGAGTCAAAAACGCGAGTTTTGGGTTTGTTTTTTTAAATTCAGTTCTGTTTTAAAGGTTGTAAGAGGGCATGGAAGATGTTTACAAGCAGAATGGAGTAACAGAAAAATCTCTGTTTTTCTGTTTTGTTTGTCCATCATGTTAGTCTTTGTGTTTTTTGTTTTGCATTGTCCCTCTTAACCTCCACTAATGCATAACTCAGCACAAAAGTGACTCTTTTCCTGCAACGAAAGCAGGCGGAAAACAGGAAGCACAGCTCCAGAATGGTGAGAAGGACACGATCAAACCTGTTAACTCGTCTAGGAGGCTGGGAATGAAAACAGCTACCTTAAAGCTGTGCTCAATTGAGCTTAACAGTCTAACATTTTGACTAACATTTTGACTTTATTCTGCTGATAACTGCAGTTTATGTATGTGCATTATGCTGTAAATATACACAGGATTCACTCTTTATATCTAATCTTATACATTTCTTTGTGATCCTAACTTTTCTCTTTCTTTTGAGTGTGCCGTCCAAGGTTTGCTCATCCCAACAAAACTGGTCAGCCTTTATTTTTGTTAAATAACAGGTCAGTCACAAGCATAAATCACAGTTTTGAGGTTTTGCTGCATTTCTGGAAATTATTTTGTGTTTAACTTTAGGGATGAATAAAGAATTCCTCTGGTCAGTTCAATGGTTTCTGCACCTTTATGTGACTTAATAACACATTTTAACAGGCTATCTGCCCTCTTCCCCTCTCATAACTTGGTCCTCTCACCTGGTTCAGATCCGGTTCGTGTTGCCATGGCGACGGCCCATCCACTCCACAGCCCTCTGGAGCAGCGCTGGCCGTCTCAGCGGGCTCCCTCCTGTGCTCGCTTTTGGGCGTGTACTCCATCTGGTCGGTCAGCCACATCTGGGTGCGGACGGCGGGCTGGATGGGGGACCCCCGGTCCGCTTTGTGACCCCGGGGGGGTTCGGCCCGCTCGGACAGGTGGGGGCCGCGGACCGGCCCGCCTCCCTGAGCCGCTTTGGTCTGGGGTATGGTGCTCCAGTTCAAGTCCGGCCGGTTCTGTTTAATAGGGGAGGAATGAGCGGAGGAGAGGAACAGCTCCGTTTCCAGACTGGCCGCTCTGTTGCCGTGGCGATAACCGGGGCAGGCGCCCGGCGACCGCTGCAGCAGGCTGCTGCAGATCGGGGAGGAGGACAGAGGGAGGTACAGGTCCCGGTTTGACCGCTGGCGCTCCTTTCTAAACGCATGAAGCAGACTTCTATCCAGGGAGCCCTGGCCATCTCGGTTGTACTGGCATCCGGCAGAGGTCTTCTTGGGCTTTTTATCAGCTCCCGAGGACAGCTTGGTGAAGGAGGAGCTCCTCCGGATGGGCTGGTGGTCCTTCATGTCCGGATAGCTCGGCGTCCCCACGGGAGAAGTGGCCAGCACGGGGAGGTGGCAGGAGCCGCTCCGGCGGCCCGTGCTGTGGAACGAATCTGTGCTCCTGGAGTAGGTCTGAGGTGAAGAGGAGGGAGGTGAGGCGGAGGGAAGGACCGGGGCGCCGTCATCGTCCTGGAGGAGGTGGTGGAGTGGCAGCGACAGTAGGGACAGCGGCGTGGTGCTAGAACTGCAGTCGTCTGTGGAGGGACACACAAGCCGGACATGGGATGACCAACCGTACAACATCAGGACACGTAAACGAGGGAAAACAAAACCTGTTCAAGACTAGGGTTGTCACGATACTAAAATTTTCAACTCGATACCGATACTCAGGAAAATACTCGATACTCGATACCATTTTCGATACCACAAGGATTAAAAAAAAGACCCCAAAATTTAAATGAATTTTGACAGGTTAGTGTCTTTCATTTCAAACTCACCTGTTACTGATGTTATCGTGACTGGTGGCCTGCATTAATGACCCTAACCCTAACCCTAACCCTAACCCAAACCCTAACCCTCCACCCTTCATAATTGTGAGAAATAAATACTTTTTGGTTAAACTTGTTTGGACTTATTGTACAAACCTATTTAACATAGGCTAGTGAACCAAGATCATACAATTCTCATGAAAGTGCAAACTAGTAATTGTCATAAGTTACCAGTTACAGGTCTATTCAGCTGCTTCTGTTCCTGATCACCATCATTAACCATTAACACACCGTAATTCAGCAGAAAAACGGCTGACCACTCCAACAAGAGCTGTTGAGGATGGGTACTGAGTACCACATGACTTTTGAGGTGTCTCTGGGTCTCACTTCTGTACAGACCAGATACAAAAAATGGCTTTGGGGATGTAAAAGTGCGGCAGCTTTGTTTTTTAGGGGAGCCCATACCTTCCACGCTATCGGAGCAGTAGGTCCCTATCCCCGTGTCTCCGCTGTCGGACACGGTGCTGAGTCTGCGCCCGTCCCGGATACTCCCGCCGGGCCAACCGGACTCCTGCTCGGATAGCCACCCCGAGGAACCACCGCCGGGGCCTGCGGAGGAAAATCAGAAGGTCGTCAGTTATAAAGGAACGACGAAAGAAAAAATGGAGGATACCATTCTGTATCCAGAGGGGGCGAGCATAAATCTGGTTTCCTGTCCCGTTAGTTTGGAGGAGTTTCCGTTGGTGTAGCGGGACAAATAAGAGATGCTTGAAGTTGTCCGAGAGGAAATACTTCGGGTTAGAACACATGAAGTGCAGTCATTAGGGTATGTTATCAAACCCGGACTTTTCGGAACACACTGGGACCGGACGGTGGTCTGGTCAGGTCCTCCATCATCAGAACACGGAGGTTGGGGGCTGCTGTTCGCCACTGCTCCGGGCCTTTAAAACCCACACCATCCCTTAGTAACACCTCAGCCACTCACCCGGTTTGGAGGCTTCCCTGGCCTCTGTGGGGAGTCCGCGGCCCGGCCAGAGGACAAAGGGCTCCGCTTCCGGCTCGACCATGGCGCCCTCCGCCACGGACCCCGGTCCACGTAGCTGATTTCAAACACCTATTCGGCCAACGGATGTCTTAGCGTCGACGCGCGCGCTCAGCGCTGAGGCTTCGGTCGCGCGCGTTCGGGAGAACGCGCGTCACGCCGCGCGTCACCCAAACCGGAAGCGGCGGAGTAGTCTTCCGGTCAGGGCCCTCTCCGTCCAGGGTCCTCCTTAACTTTGAGAACCCAAGAAGACTAAAGAACCACGAACAGGACCAACTATTAACGCTAACCCTCTGATACAAGTCCACCACACAACCACTTCCTGTCATACTTTCAAAATAAAGGCCCTAACATAACAGAGTGCTATTACAGTACCTCCTGGATCTCAGAGACAATATGACTGAACAACTGATATTTGTCTAATTTATTTTGGGCCACAAACACATAACTTATACCAACCAGCCACGTAAAAAAAAAGGCAATTTGTGATCTCTACTCCCTTTTTTAAGATCGCACCTTGCATTTCACAGCTCAAACTTGTAAATCTGTATCAATAACAAGCTGATAAAAGCTCTCATTAGTTGGTTTCACTCTTTAGGAAACACACGAGCATATGTTCTACACAGAAGCAATGTGACTGGACTTTGTATTGGTCTGGAAGCAAAATGCATGCAAGATTACAAATGCTGCATTGACTTTACTGTGATTATTTTCTCTCTACAGTTTAAGAGGTTCTACAGAGATATTATAATCGAGCTGGAGAAGAAGACAGACATGGATGCTGAAATATCAAAGGGATCCTCTGTTTTATTCCTGACTGTGTGCTACAGGAGAATAAGGAATTGTGAAAGGACTCATTCTGAAGTCGGTTCTGGGCCTCGTTTTATCCCCAATTTGTAACCATCACAATGTGGATTTTGCATGTTATTTTTTGGTTTGTTTTTTTCAAATCACATGCAAACACAAAAGCCTACCATGTAATATACTAGGGCAGGACAAAGTTAAAAAAAACTAAATGAAGAAGAGCACTGGATGGTCCGAGATCTGTCAGTAAAACTGGGCGTTTGCGTGGTTACAGAATAAATATGTTGATTGGGCATATTTAAAAAAAACAATCAAAATATTATTTATTTCATGAAAATATTCTTTCTTTATGTGCCTTTTTGGGAAAAAAATTACTGTCAGAAAACCAATCCAGAGCAAAAATGAACCTTAAATCGAAAATTTCAGTGCATTTCTACAGTAGCCTACTGATGATTTAAAAGTGCAGAAAGGAAGTTGATTTAGCTGTAATATACCTGCCTTTACATTGTCTTGGGTTTTTTAAGATATTTGAGCGGCCTACTTTCTACAAGGCAGAGGAGAAAGTGTCTTGGCTGTATTTGTGGAAAGAAGTCCCGTGAAACAGACCAGGCCTTCCTGGACCCCCCAAAAATCTTTTCCTGTTTTTTATTCTAATTATTTTTGTCTTTTCTTCTTTAGAAGAGTTATAAACAGACGTGGTGAGAATGAAGGGAGAGTGACTTGTTTGGAACGGGGATTATCTTTCAAGTGCAGTTAAAAATCTTTAAATATATTTATTATCAGGAAGTTTTTATGGAGTTTTTAAACATGTATAAAGAGGGTTCTGTGTAGATGCCCCATTGAATGCAAGAACCCGTGTGCTCCTTCTAAGCATGGATCTTACCCTGATTTACATTTTGCTGCTGGTATGTACTTTGAACAGGTAAAAAAAAAAGACCTTTTGATGAAGGATATGAATTCACTCCTCTTTGTTTCACTGTTGCACGTGGTGTGTGTGCACAATTCAATGTAAGTGTATGATTAAGGAGTTGATCGAACAGTTTATTGTTCTATTTTGACTTACTGATTGGAAGCATACCCATCTTACTGACATAGCTATTGCCATAGGCTTTATTCAGAGTACCTTGTCATTGTGTTGACCAGTGTAGTCTCTTTTTATTTTCAATAAAGCACAAACACTTCTGGACATTCACCTTTTATTACTGGTTTCTTTGTAATGAAAGTTTTTTACTTATCTTTGCCTCAGTTTGGGGATGAATCACACAGGGTACATTTACATAAAGTATAACTGATGAGCTTCAAAAACACTCCCATAAAAATGATAAAAGAAATCAAAGTTGAAAAAGTGGAAAAATAACTTAACTCAACATTTGTCAATATGTAAATCAATAAAACAATATATGTTGAATGTCATTCCCATTTTTGTGATTATCTAATGAGGTAAATCCCTATCTTTAGTCAAGAGCATATATTTAGATCAGTCAGAAGGATTTGTGGTTTTCATGCTTAGATTTAGTTCCGCCTGCTTCTTAAACACTGCCCTCGTGCTGAAAACCTCTCTGGTGGCTGCTCTGCTCACATTTAAGACCTTCTCACCAACAGAGGATCTGACGGAGAGCCGAGCAGAATCTGAGCATGAAATCAGGCAATCCTATGCACTCTCAAAAATATGCACTTGAGTCAAGGTAAAGGGGAAAGACCAACTGATCAGCTTTGGTTGCGACTGTAGCTTTAAATAATTTCGCTCTGGGATTATTAAAGTATTTCTGATTCTGATTTAAATCAGGGGTGGGAGACTCCAGGTCTGTCCTGCAGGTTTTAGAGGTTTCCCTGATCCAAAATACCCGATTCACACCGACACGACATCAGCAGTCCTGTGCGGAGCTGAACAATCTTTAGAAGATTTCCATTTAACCAGGTGTGTGGGAGCAGGGGAACCTCTAAATCCCACCCCCGTTTTAAATGAAATCATCTAAACATGCATCCCCCTCTGCTGAATTCCTATTCAAAAACCGGATTACGTTATTTTCTTTTTGAAGTTTTTACATTTCTATAGAAGTGGAAGCTCTGAGTAGTCGTTTCGTGGTCTGAGCATGTATTAAATGCTCTGTCTATTCTGTTTTTGAAGTCCCAAAGTGAAATACATAGTTTACGTTTAGGGAAGGTTAACATTGACACAAAATAACAAATCTAAAGAGAATTACGATTAAAGGGTTACTATGCAAAAATAAGTACAGTAATATCAGGTGTCATGACACTTAAAATAAACAGACCAATTAAAAATAATTCAATTAAGCGAATTAATCCAAAATGAATCTAATTAAAGGTCATCTAATTATAATCCAATTAAATTGAAATACAAATTAGTCCAATTTATACAATGCCAATCTTGTAAAAAAGAAACAAAGAAAAACCAACGGATCTCCTCGATACTTTTTCTTCGAGTCAATCCCCCAACCTGAGCAAGCACAAGGCGACAGTGGAGAGGAAAACTCCCTTTTAACAGGAAGAAACCTGCAGTAGAACCAGACTCAGGAGGGCGACCGTCTGCACGGCCGGCCGGTGAGTCCTCAAGTGACTTGTCTGAGAACTACTGAGAAAAACACAAAGAATGACATCAGTTAAGAATGTATTTTCTATGTATTTACCATGACATGAAGCAGAGCTTTCAGTCGGCATGTAGTCAAGGCAACGGTGCCTTACTCGGTGCTTATTCCTCTCTTACCTTAATATGTGGGACTCTGGACTGTCTTGATTCCCCCTCCACTTCCCGTTAAGCTCTTTAGTCTCTCATTCATAAACCCATCTCCATCTAAATGGGGAGAAGTCCGAGGGAGAGAAACAGAGGAGTTCCGGAACAAAACCCCAAAGTGATTAAATGCTGAGTTTTTGTACCCGTCAAAACAGCTACAGCGATAAAAATGTAGCATCACCTTTGACGTGTTTGGTTCCTGCTGAAGATCCATGAAGCCCACTGTCTTATTGGTGGACAGTGGTGGAGACGGCTGACCACAGACCCCCGTTTGGTGGCTGACGTTGCCACAATCCCCTTCTGCTGACCTAAGATCTAAGAACAGAACAGGAATGGTCAGAACAAATTCACAGATTTCAGTGGCAGAAGAAAATTTACTGGAAAATTATTGTTCTTAACTCATTGGCAGCCAAAGACGTCTATAGACGTCAATTCAAATACAACCGTTGACTGCCAAAGACGTCTATAGACGTCTTTTATGTTATGTTTTGTCAACGAAAGTGGCTGGGGGACGATCTGCTAAAGCTTGTCCGTAAATATCAGGCTTCTAGACAGAGTATGTAGTAACAAATTGACCCTCTAGGTGGCAGTGCCACTTTTGATGGGAGATGAGCATAGACTGTAGGCAAATAAGAAAAAGGGAACGGTTCTATGAGAGAACACGTCGCCGGTGAGACACAAGTCCAGGAAGAACGGAATAAGGTAGAAACATTTTATTTCCTGATAAAAGAAGAGAGTCTACTCTTTCTTTTGGTGTGTTCGGTGTTTACATAGTCATAGCACAAACTATTCTGTGGCTCTTGAAAAATCTGTCAAAATGCTCAAAAAACTCTGGCAGTATGGGACTCTCTGTTCTGAAAATGGTTGGCAGTCAATGAGTTAAGAAACTAATATTTTAAGAACACAGTTGGCCTGAGTCATGATTTGGAAATAACATGTTTACAGGATGCTAAAAACTAAACTAAGTTCAAATGTCAATCCAGTTATCCAGTTATCCAGTTAGATGAAGTAGCGATGACAGTGAAAATGTTCAACTTACTCAGGTAGACTCTGTTCTTGTCTATCAGGAACCAGCCAAAGCAAAAGGAAGAGGACTGCTGGAGCTCTGAGGAACACAGAAATGGACAAGATTTGGCGTTTGACGTTTCCAGTTCTCTTAAAACTCATTAAATGTACATTTGAACAAACTTGAGGAAAATGAACCTTTTCGTTTCCATAACTTTGAAGTATTGACAAGAAGCCGTTGTCCATAAACCCCTTTCAACAGGGAGGTGCGTTAAGGGGAGGCTCTGATTCACCTGTCACCATGAACATAAAATTAATATTATTATTAGTCAACTGCATAAATGTCCCCAATACATATAATGTTTGCATATTCGTTTAATACCCTGATTTTCCACAGTCTGGCTAATGTCTTTAACCATTTACGTGTAGTGTTTGCTAGCAGGCACGTGCAGAGGGGGGTGCTAAGGGGGCTTGAACACCTGCCCCTTTTGCTCCATGATCCCAATGTGCCCTTTTTTTCTTTTAATTTGAATTTTTTGATTTGACACATGTACTGAAATTATTATTATCATCTTTTTTTTTTGCAATAAAAACAACACAATGAGCCCTCTGGTCACACTAAAAGGTTGCATTGTGCCCTTGTATCCATTTTTAACAGTTTAATTCTGTAAAGACAAAATATGTCTTTACATTTGCTAAATTGCAGGTTTGAATATTGTAATACTTTCCTATAATAAAATAGACCTGCAGAAAGAAAATACTAATAAAATATTTTACAAATGCATAGTTCTATGTTCTATGTAGAGATTTTCCTTAGCTCTGATTGTATGTCTCACAATTTTGTAATTTATCATTGTTCATTAAACTCTGAAAGCTATGTGACTTTGTTAATATTCTGTCCTAAAATGTGATTAGATATGCCTTTTTTTCTGAGCACCTGCCCCTTTAGTGGTCTCTGCACGGCCCTGTTTGCTAGCGGCATATATAGTTTCGCTGATAGGACATGAAGCCAACAGGCCCAGCGTGAGGCGATGCAGTACCCTGCCTGGCCGGAGGGGGGCGCAGGTGAGCCACCGGCTGCTTTTTGCTGCTGTCCTGTGACGCAGAGGCGAGTGAGAGTCGAGTTAACGGCGCGCGAACAGCCGTTAGCCGTTGACTTTTGAGTGTGTGAAGGAGGCTGATGAGAGACGAAGTAACCAGCAGCCAGTTGAATAAGCTGCCTTTTTAAGTGTGTGTATTTGTAAATCTGAGTCTAAAGGAGTCACTACCTTTAAATGTAAATGGGGCGAAGTCTGAAGGAAAGAAACAGGAGAAATCTTCAGTAACAAAATCGCAAATTGGTGAAATGCCTGAATATTCAGACTTTTTCCCCCAGTCAATAGCTAAAGAGAAAACATTTAGCGTCACCTTTGTCCTGTTTGGATCCAGCTGAAGATCCACGAAACCAGCGTTGTGCTGGGGGACAGTGGGGCTGGTGTGAGGCATCACAAATAGAAATATAAAAATATAAAATGTCCTTTGAATGCATTTTAACGTGATATGAAGCAGAGCTTTGTAGTCAAAGCAACGGATCCTTACTCGGTGCTGTGGTGTCAATCCATGCTTCTCTTGGATCTTTTGGAGGGGTGGAGCTCAGAGCTGTCATCTCTCTCTTCCCTCAGATGATCAGCAGTCCTTTTGTGGCCCTGACGTTCTCTTTTAGGGGCCGACTGGGAACTGTAGAGACAAGTACAGGGGCTGGGACCAGACTTACTCCAGTTGAAAAATCAAGCCGGGGCGAAACGTAAGTGGTTCCAGTTGTCCCTCTACTAGATATTCCTCTCTTACCTTACTATGTGGGACTCTGGACTTTCCCGTTCCTGGTCCACTTGAGAAAGGCGCTGGTGGTGGTAGCTGGAGTCCCCCTGATGGCGCTTCTCCCTGGGGTGAACGAAAGTCGGATGGCGTCTGGTCTCAGGCTCCCAGTCCCTGTATTGACATTCAGTTTGACATAAATTACGTTCGCCTGGATTTCAGTGATTTCCGTAGACGAGTCTGCATCGGGGACAATCCCAGCACCTCTCTCGCAGCGGGCTCCTGTCTCTGTAGACTCGCCCCTCCATGAACCCATTTCCTTCCGAATGGGGCGAAGTCTGAGGAAAAGGAACAGGGGAGAAACGTTCCGTAACAAAATCCAAAGCTGGTTAAACGCTTGAATAGTTTTTTTCCTGATCAAAATAGTTGAAGAGATCGGATGTAGCGTCACCTCCGTGGTGTTTGGCTTCAGCTGGGGATCCATTAAGCCCCAGATCCTTGCGTCAAAACTAACGTTTCTGTAGTCCCCTGCTGCTGACGAGTCAGAGAACCTAAGAACGGAAAAGGAATGGTTAGGACAAACTCACATATTTCAATGGCAGAAGCAACAAATATACTGGAAAATTTTTGTTCTTAAGAAACTAATATCTTAAGACCACAGATGGAAGTTAATAGTACAGAAAAGCAGTGTTTTTAACGACTGAATTATGGCTAAAAATATCAGGTTTACATGGTGTCACAAACTAAAGGGGTTCAATTAAACTAAGTGGCTTCAAACAGTAACCCAGTTATTTTCTAACTCATAACTTCAAGAATTGTTAGATAAAATAGCAATGAGAGTGAAAATGTTCTACTTACTCAGGTAGACTCTGTTCTTGTCTATCAGGAGCAGACAAAGCGGAAGGAAGAGGACTGCTGGAGCTCTGAGGAACACAGAAATGGTCAAGATTTGGCCCTCAGCGATTCAAATTCTCTTAAAACTCATTAACTATGCATTCTAATTACAGACATTTTACCTTTTCGTTTCCATAACTTTGAAGCATGGATAAAAAGTCGCTATCCCAGGAGACGTCATCCACAAACCCATCTCCGTGTAAATGGGGTGAGGTCTGAAGGAAAGAAAAAGAGGAGGGATGTTCAGTAACAAAATCCCAAATAATGAATGTTTTCCCCATCAAAACGGCTTAAGACCTTTGACGTGTTTGGCTCCAGCTGAAGATCCATGAAGCCAGTGTCGTATTGGGGGACGGGGGGGCTGGTGTGAGGCCTCACCAGACCACGGACCCCCGTTTGGTGGCTGTGGCCCCCTTCTGCTGACGTATCAGTGGATCTATTGAAAGAACAGGAATGGTGAGAACATACTCCCATCTTTCAGTGCCAGGAGTAAATTGACTGGGAAACGAATGATTGTTCTTCAGAAATGATGGCTGCGTTAACACACTGACATCACATAAAAATGGAAAGTCGTATTTACTAAAGAATCCTAGATACGAATTCCGTTCAAACGTCCACACTGACTCTCGAAATGTTTATTTTCTTACTTAATGTAAAACAGAACGTAGGCTTCTTGCTTGAGGACGGTATCGATGTCGCTCACAGACACGGAAGAGTCGTTCATCTTGTACCACTGACCGTCACTAGCCTGTCACACACAGAAGAATTCAAAGTTTTTTTAAATTGGTTAAAAGTAAGAAAATGGAGTCTTGAGGCAGAGCAGCATTCTAATCAATCAATCAATCAATCAATCAATGTTTATTTATATAGCACTTTACAACAACCGGAGCTGATCAAAGCGCTTTACAGAATAAAAACAGATCAAACTATCGAAATACACAAAGACAATCACATCGGTGACAGAACCCAGTATACCGAGACCCTACGTGCAAAAAGCCATCCTGAACAAATACGTTTTCAGTTGAGCTTTGAACAGTGGCAGGTCAGTAAATGAACGTAACTCAGTGGGCAGAGAGTTCCACAGTTTAGGACCTGCCACTGCTTGAACCTGGACCGGGGGACCTCTAGCAGATGTTGACCAGCAGACCGAAGTGGTCTGCTGGGCTGGTGAAACCTCAAAGAATAGTCGTTTGTGGGGTTTCCAGTACCTTGATGAAGCACAGGTAGTGTCCCGAGTTGCAGCGGGCTCCGGCGTGCACCAGGACGCCGTAGAGGCTGTAGATCTGGGGCTCGCCCCCCGCCTCCGACATGAAGCGCCCCAGGTCCAGAAACTCCCGGAACCTCACATCCTGCTCAACACAAACTTAGACTTAGACTTAGACTTCCTTTATTGTCATTGCACAAAAACACGAGGTGAATTTGACAACGAAATGTCGATTACTTGGCTACCAGTGTAACAGCTAAGACCTCATACCATGCACAATAAATATGTATTGTATTGTATTCTATAACTAAGCACTAAGCGTAAAGAATTATATTTATACATATATATATTGCAACAAGGGGATTGATTCCTAAATCCCATTCAAAGCGTTGCTTGTCAGTACACGAAATATCCTAACGTGTGTGTGCTGCTGTACCTTTGTGATCTTCCTGGTGGAAAAGTACCCGAATCTCTTCAGGGACAGGGTGAGCACGTTGGGGCTGCGGTGGATTCTCAGGCTCTTTTTTGCCGAGACCATTTTCAAGCACCTCAGAAAATGACAGAAAACTTCATTAGTTGAAAAAGCAACACATGAATAAATGAAAAACTAACTCTTTTTATCTCAGTGAATTACTTTGAGCACTTGTAGGAATTTTCACCCCCGAGCTTCTCCGGCTTCACAAAACGCTTTAGAGCCTTGGAGACACTGGAAGCTCTCTGAATGGGGAGAAAAAATGCCTTTGGGGTTAAGAGTTGCTTCGAGGAAATCTTTTTTAAAATTCAGATTTTAATAAAACTGAAATACAGAACGTGTCAGCTCCAATTACCTCAATGTCCAGAGTGAGATCCTGAAAAGCCTCGTATGTATCAGACACATCTTTGCATGCTGAACATTCGACTGAAAAATATCAGACAAATTTGTTTAGTACAGGAAAGCAGTAAAATGGTAAAACCTGACACGGCAGAGAATGAACTGAAAACTCGCCTCTGGACCTGAGGTACCCGCCAAACAGTTGATCGATGACGGTGGTGTTCATGATGATTCCCTCCAATCTGTCAACAAGACGGGATGAAAATGTCAACAGTTAACGACTCATTTTGTCCGGCCTCACAGTGTGATGTCGGTTAAGACGTTGCGTCCTTGGCAGCGGCCGCCGTTTTCCCGTGCTAGCACTGTCACGTCTGGGGGAATGTCTGGTGTCTCGTCATGTGTTGATCACCTATTGTGTACACCTGGGGTTCCCCTCCCTCATGTGTTTAAATAGTCCTCGTTTCCCATGTCCTGTGCCAGTTCTTTTGCGTCTTTCGTCCGTTGTCTTTCGTCTCCCCACGTCATGTAAGGGTTCGATTATTTACCATAGCCATGTTTTACCACAGCCTTGCCACAGTTTTGTTCGTCTTTATTTTGTTACTTTGCCATAGCCTTGTTTGACCACTGCCATGTTAATCTCGTTTGTACATTTGCCACAGTCTT